ACAACTTTTTATTTAACTTATTATAAGAATTAAATAATCCATTTCCAATTTAGTAAAAAATAGGCAAAGTTATAAAGTCGATCAAGTGATACGATCAACTTCATGTTTTAAAATTTAATTTTTTTTTGCTTCTTATTCCCTTTTTCCTTCTATATAAATGTTTCTTAGTTGCTAAAAAGGTATTTTGTTTTATTTTATCAGTTTTAATATGAATTTTATACTTACTTAATATTATGTTATAATCGTTCTGCCGTAAAATTTTAGCTGGTTGTTGTTTTTAGTTGAATACTAGTACTTTTAAATACAAAATAAAAACATTTAGTTGACAAAAAAAACATTTAAGATTTTTTTTTTTTAATTTTGTGTTTTTAACCAATGAAATCTTCAAAAAAGAAACAAATAAAATAATTCACAATTTTTTAGTTACAAGGTGCGACCAAAAACACAAAGTATCATGACTTGGTTGGATTAGTTACAGGTTTGAACGTGAAAAGACCCGTTTGTTTTTTGAGCCGTAAACACAGGCATTCTAGGATTCAATTCTACACCAAAGAAACAAAACACCCTCCAATGTAAATGTTGGCCTTTAAAGAAAATGAAATTCGACCCACAAACATCATTTTCTTATACATTTTTATCAATTTTGTTTGCATTATCTTTTAATCATGTAAGGATAATGTTTTCACATATAAATTATAGACGTATCCACTCAGGGATACATCATTGTCTAAGTGATATTGGGTTTAAGATGGATTCGACAGGTTTTTTAATTTACTCAAAATACTCCATGGCTTTGTTTTTCTATTGATTTAGATTTCTTTTATCAAAAATGATGCGAGGCCAAATGCTAAAAAATAAATCTTCTCAGACTTACCTGCTAATGCCATGAATCTCTGAACTGGAGTGAACAAAACCTTTTTGTATATCGTTGATCGCATTTCTTTGACAACTACAAGCAACTAAATATGAAAGCATATGCTTGAGGATTTTATTTGAGGATCAAATTGGTAAAATGAAAGAGATTAAAGTTGAATTGAAGCCCAAGTTGAAGAGATTGAAATAATGGCACACATCCCTTATTGGTGTCATGTCTGACTAATTTTACCAACATGGCAACATCTCATAAGTAATATTGAATATCAGGCTTTGTGATTTCTACAATTAATTTTAACAGTTTTAACTGATATGGTCCAAGACTCGCTATTGAATAGAAATCAAAAAGCCATATCCAACATCTCTGTTAAATGTAGTCTTAGGTCGGTTACTTGTATACGTTTTAAATGATTCAAAAAATTGGCGCCTCATCATTTATCCGATTGTAGAGTAAAATTAAAATAATATCATAAGAAATTATAATTTTCTCTAATCCACAAAGATTGTCTTACATCTTATGTACTTTATATTACAATATAGAGCAATATATCTGAATTAGTCTTTGGAAAAAAAATCTGAATCAAATAAAATCGAACGCAAGTAAAATTCTTAAAATAACTTCTAGTATGTAAAAAATATTCTTATTTTCTGGTTAAAGTACACGTAAAAATTATATAAATTACTAGAATATATATTCATGACAAAAGAGTATAAGTATAGTATATAACCTCGAAATCATAACAAGAAAATTTAATGAAGATGGATATATATATAGTATACAGTCGAAAAATAAAGAGAAGAAGAAGAAGAAGAAGATAAATAAATAAATAAGAAAATGGATGATGGAAAACAATTTGAAGAAGAAGAAGATAAATAAATAAATAAGAAAATGGATGATGGAAAACAATTTGACTGAAAGTGGACGGAGAGCTTAAAGAACGTGCCGTTATTAAGAGGGAGTGTTATGATGGGGCCAAGGGCACTTGAAATGGAATCTACATTTTCATGTATTTTTTTTCTGTTTCTTTTGAAGAGAAGTTTATTTTTTTTGTAAGAAAAGGAGAAAAGATAATTAATAAAAAATGTAATATTTTAATCTCTAACACAGCTCTCTTTCACGGCCAAATTCACAAATTACCACTTTGTCTAGATTCCGGCATCTCCACCATCCTCTTCCTTCTTACCACTATATAGTCTATAAATAGAGACGGCTCTAAGATAAAGAACAGAGTCATCATTAGCCTTTGAGACAAATACAACAGACAAAACAAGGAAGTACAATTTAAAAAAAATGGAGAGACAGCCTCTCGAACTCGAGTCTACGGATCACCAAAAACCTTCCCCCGCCGTCTACGGTGGCTCTGTTACGACGGTTGATTCTGTTGAGGAAGAAGTTCAGGAGAAAAAAGTCGTATATAGAGGCTGGAAAGTCATGCCCTTTATCATTGGTAAATATTTACCGTTTTTAACACTTTTTTTTCTTGGTCCTGGAAACTATTTTTTTCAGTTGGATTCATGTAGTTAGGAATTACCCATAAAATCATAAGAAAAAGATCGAAAACATCAGTCTTGCTCGAAGACTTGCTTGGTTTGAATTTTTTTTTTTTTTTTAAATTTGAAAGATTCTCTGTGTTGTTTGTCTTAAGCTTTGACTTAGTCAAACAGTAACTTAAGACAAAAAGAAGGACATCTTGAAATTGAGGAGATTTTATAACATAACTAATCAAGAATTAATTTTAAAACACAGATTTCATCTAACTGTTTGATTCTTGGTTTGGTTTCTGATACAATCAAATGCAAAGCTTGAAACTTAATCTTCATTTTTGTTGTTGTTATCAGGAAATGAGACATTCGAGAAGCTTGGGATCATTGGAACACTATCAAACCTTCTGGTTTTTTTAACAGCTGTCTTCAACATGAAGAGTATCACAGCTGCAACAATCATTAACGCATTCAGTGGCACAATAAATTTCGGAACTTTCGTTGCTGCTTTCCTCTGCGACACTTACTTCGGTCGATACAAGACACTAACCGTCGCGGTCATCGCCTGTTTTCTTGTAAAAACCCATCCTTTCTTGTCTTGTCTTTCTTCCTCCACAAGCATATATATACAAGCGGAAAAAACTTATCGGTGAAATGGTTTCTTTTTGTAGGGATCACTTGTGATACTATTGACAGCTGCAGTGCCACAACTGCACCCAGCTCCATGTGGAACAGCGAGCTCGTGCAGCGGTCCAAGCGGTGGGCAAATCGCGTTTCTTCTGATGGGTCTCGGGTTTCTTGTAGTTGGAGCGGGCGGGATCAGACCGTGCAATCTAGCTTTCGGAGCCGATCAGTTCAACCCGAAGAGCGAGTCAGGGAGAAGAGGGACTGATAGTTTCTTCAATTGGTACTTCTTCAGCTTCACTTTCGCGCAGATCTTGTCGCTGACGCTAGTGGTCTACATCCAGTCTAACGTCAGCTGGACGATCGGTCTAACCATACCGGTGGTTCTAATGTTCTTGGCCTCCGTGATCTTCTTTGCGGGAGATAAGCTGTATGTGAAAGTCAAGGCCTCGGGTAGTCCATTGGCTGGTATAGCTCAAGTGATCATTGTTGCAATCAAGAAACGCGGATTAAAGCCCGTGAAACAGCCTTGGCTTAACCTCTACAATTACTGCCCTCCAAAACACGCAAACTCCATTCTCAAATACACCGACCAATTCAGGTAACCAAAAAACTTAAACTTGTTTTCCTTTAAGAGTCTTTTTTATTGTCAGGATGTTCTTTACTCAGAGAAAGGTTCCTGTTTTGGGCAGATTTCTTGATAAGGCGGCGATCTTGGCTCCCGAGGACAAGTTGGAGGCGGATGGTAAGCCTGCGGATCCATGGAAGCTGTGTACGATGCAACAGGTGGAAGAAGTGAAGTGCATTGTGAGAGTGCTTCCTATATGGTTCGCTGCATCAATCTACTACGTAACCATAACCCAGCAAATGACATATCCGGTCTTCCAAGCCCTGCAGAGCGATCGTCGCTTAGGCTCGGGAGGGTTCGTGATCCCCGCAGCCACCTACGTGGTCTTCTTGATGACAGGGATGACGGTTTTCATCATCATCTACGACCGTCTCCTCGTGCCTACCTTGAGAAGAATAACCGGTCTAGACACCGGGATCACGCTCCTGCAGAGAATCGGAACCGGGATCTTCTTCGCCTTTGCAAGCTTAGTAGTCTCCGGTTTCGTCGAGGAGCGGAGGAGACACATTGCGCTGACTAAACCAACTCTTGGCATGGCGCCAAGAAAAGGAGAAATCTCCTCAATGTCAGCTATGTGGCTCATCCCGCAGCTCACTCTCTCGGGTGTAGCCGAGGCGTTTGGAGCCATCGGACAGATGGAGTTTTACTACAAGCAGTTCCCAGAAAACATGAGGAGTTTCGCGGGTTCCATCTTTTATGTAGGAATAGGGGTTTCGAGTTACCTCGGCAGCTTCTTGATTGCAACGGTTCACCGGACGACGCAGAACTCGGCGGGTGGTAACTGGTTGGCTGAGGATTTGAACAAAGGCAGATTGGATTACTTCTATTTCATGATCGCTGGAATCTTGGCTGTTAATTTCGCCTACTTCTTGGTCGTGTCAAGATGGTATAGGTACAAAGAAAGTGATGATGATCAAAAGACAGCTTCTGAAACCAATGGAGATGTCATCAAACAACAAGACAAGAACACTGCCTGATCATTATGGGTTTCTCATCTTCTCGACTTAGTTTTTGGTCAGCTTCGATCCCCTTTGGATTTTCTTGGAATAAGCCCATAGAGAAACCAAGTAATCATCATATACTTGTTCTCGCTCTTTTTTTTTCTTTTCCTCGTTTATATTTAAATCACTTCTCTTTCTTTCTATCATTGTGGACAAAAAGGGAAATTATAACATCAAATGTAATGCAAAAATAAAAAAAAATTTGTCTTACACTTTGAGGATGCTGTTTCTATTTCTGCCATTCTTCATCATACAAGAGAACAAACTTACAAGAAGGAAACAAACCGACCAAATAATACTACTAAGGCCTTTGATACTTATATGCATAATTTGTATCGAAGTTTCAAACAGAGATATTGAGACGAGTCGTGGGCTTTCTCTCTACGATTTTGTCAGACTGTGTAAGATTGTTGAATGGTTTCAATGTCGAGACCTTTTAGCCTCACGACAGATTCAACGTGACCCTTGAGTGTGTGAAGCTCCCGCAACCTATCAAAGTGTAAGAGAGAATGAGACAAATCACAAATGTTCCGGTTCGACCAAAACAAAGCAAAAACAAACGTTCCGGTTTTGTGTTCCTTCTCTGACCCTCACGGCTCACAGGAAGAAACTAGGCTTACCTAGCGATCTCGGCTCTTCTCTTTGCTTCTTCAGCCATTTGGGAAAGCTCGTTGAAATGGGTTCGCTCTGGGAACATTTTAGCATCTGGTGCTTGCAGGCCATGTAGCGTTCTCTGTGCGTGCGCCCATTGTAGCTCCCTTTGTTCTTTCCCAAAATCCTTCTGCCTCGTGAATGCAATCTATGGAAACGAGTTTACATGAAAGATCAAGTACAGATAAAGAAAATGGAAAGAGGTGAAATGAGAAGAAAATATGTTTGCTTTTTGATACTTACCCTTTGCTCAATAACAAGGTCCCAGGCTCTGCCGCTAAGGGCGTACCGAATCAAGAACTTGATGATATCAAGAGGAATATAGAACACAATGTTGTAGAGCCAAATGACCCCGGCCCATCCCCACCCGATCCCTTCGATCGCAGCAAAGCTCCAATTCGCATAGACGGCAATTAGAGTAGCCACCTGTTTGGAAGAAAATGGTCAAGAAAACAGTGATTTCAAAACTTCTTACTTGAGTGCTGACCACAGATAGTGTGTAGTGTCACACTAACCAATTGTGCGACGATAAAGGCTATCACAAGCAACATCCCAGGACGTTCCACATAAGACCAACTCCGTGACCGGGTCACAAAGATTAGCGCCTGACTAATAATGCTGACTTGTAGGTATATTGCTGAGGCAAGCTTCCGGAAATCATCATGTGCTGTTTTCTCAAGGGTCGAAACTCCGAAAGTTCGCTGAAATTCAAATAAGAAAATCTGGTCACTACAATTCAGAAAAGAGGAAGTTGATGATTTGTATTCAGAAAAAGAGAAAAGTGGTACTGCAGAGTAGAAAGAGTATATACCGGGAAGAAGTCAGTTTTATATGCAGCCCAGAAAAATATAACTGTCATCATTGCCATGTAGGTCCCGAACACAACGCCAGTTGCAAAAATCTCTGACAGTTTCCAGCTATCTGGAAGAGGGGAAGGTTTCACCCTGTCTTTTGATATTGTCATAATTGTGCCTACAAAGCCAGTGCCACAAGAGTTGATCAATACGGCAAGACTCTTGAGAAACGATATGAACATTTACATGCTAAAGTATAGATAAGCTGAAATCCTAAATCCATTATGTTCATCAATCTTGGTACAGTTTTAACAGTACTAGAGAATGATATATAGATTGAAAAATGTAAAAAAAATGAACGAACCATCGTTCAGTATGGCGATGATAAGAACCATGAAGGGTGGAAAGTCAAACTTCCATATGAGAGCCAGTAGCATGAAGCCAAGCTGAAATTGCATGGAATGTAGAAATATAAATCACAAAGAGTATCATACACATGGACATCAAGCTGTGACGGGAAACCTTGAAAACATCAAATGCCAACTTACGACAATACGGATTGTGATGGAAACCGCATAGATCTGTCCAGAAAAACAGAAAGTCAACATTAGTTATTTGGCTTAATTACAAAACAACGAATGTATGCAACTAAAAATCTGCGTAAAGGGGGTGTTATATGTATTAGAGACATTACACGATTCCTCCTCCATCAGTATACAAAGTCTAAGATATGATGGAGATTCAGAGTAAATGGAAGACTCACGGTATAATTTTTCATTCTCTGAAAGATAGCACGACTGGTCAAGACAGCGCTTATGATAACACTAAGACCAGGTTCAGTAAGAACAATATCCGAAGCACTACGAGCTGCGTCAGTTGCATCAGCAACTGCAATGCCAATATCAGCTTTTTTAAGAGCAGGGGCATCATTTACTCCATCGCCCGTCATTCCACAGATATGTTTCCTTGCTTGTAATCGCTTCACTATCTCATATTTATGCTCTGCAAACCATTTTCATGACAAATTTGGTTAAAGTGTCTGAGATAAACTACACTAGATAAAGTGTTGGAAAAACAGAAGCACACAATTTTTTTACCAGGGAAGACGCCAGCAAAGCCATCAGCTTTTTCTATGAGATCATCAACGGGTAAGGCCCCTATAGACTCATCCTTGTTATGTCCAAGCAAAGCAGATGAAGGGTACATGTTGGTTCCCATCCCTAAACGGCGTCCGGTCTCTTTCCCTATAGCTAACTGATCCCCTGTAGAATACCACAAGCCTTTAGAAAAAAGTTTCTATAAAAGGCAAAGAAAAATACATGTAGACTTCTATGCGAGACTACTTGAGTTTACCTGTGATCATTTTGACATTCACCCCAAGGTTCAAGGCCCTTCTAATTGTCTCGGCACTGTCATGCCTCGGTGGGTCAAAAAGAGGCATGAGACCCACAAATTGCCAAGGGCCTCCAGCACTTTCCTTTGTCCCTTCTGGAACTTCCTGCAGAAAGCCAAACTCTCTCAATCTTGAATCTTGTATCAAAATTTACACCAAAATATCTCAAGAAAGCTAGTCACCAATTACCTGGTATGCCACAGCAAGAGATCGCAGACCCCGCTCAGCAAACTTATCTATTACAGCATGAACTCTTCGCTCAATCTCTGATCTATTGTGGGCGAGATTTAGGATCTGAGAAAATGGCAACAGGAGGAGCTATTGAGACTGTGTTCTACAACAAACAAAATGTGAAGAAGGGTCATAAAATGGCAACCGAAAGCTTACTTGCTCAGGTGCACCTTTGCTGACCCTATGCATTTTACCATCACTGTCAATGTATGTCAGAGCTGTCCTCTTATCAGTGGGATTGAATGGAAGAAAGTGAATCTCTCGAACACCAGCTCGTGCCTACAGAAATAAATATTGAGGTAGCTTTAGAAACTAGAAGTGTAGCACATTAATAAAAAGCACTTCTGTGGAAAAACCAGTGTTCACAAAAACACCTCTTTAGGGTCAGCAAGCATCCCAACTATAGCAGCATCTATGGCATCTTGGTTTTCCAGTCTGGAGGCTTGAGCTGCCATTAGGACGACAGTATCCGCATCCACTCCTTTCGTGAAAACCTATATACAGGAAACTTGCACTCATTCAGAAATGTCACCAAAATCCGGGATCCTAAGAAGATGCATTAATCTGAACACGCCAAACACACCTCGATGAGATTTTTGTCGACGGTAAGTTTATTCAATGTTAAAGTTCCGGTCTTGTCACTGCAAAGCACATCCATGCCAGCCATTTCCTCAATCGCTGTCATCCTCTTGGTTATTGCCCCCTGCGATATATCAATATAATCATATAGCCATTCAAGCACAGAAAATCTTCAAGAGAAACTTTAACAAAACATTGGTTGCCAAGTCCCCGCCAATCATTCAATATCAAGCAAGTTCAACTTAAACATCAAAAAAAGTTTATCTAAGAAATGAAAAGACAAACATGAAATGTAAAACAGAAAAATTCTGTAACCTGCTGAGATAATCTATGAGAGCCAATGGCCATGGTCACAGACAGAACAGTAGGCATGGCAATTGGGATACCACCAATGAGAAGCACAAGAAGGTTATCAATCCCAGGGCGATATGCTCGGTGTTGAATGGGATACATCACCACAATCTCAATTAGCATCCCCACTGCAATAGAGCAAATGCAGAAATTCCCAATGGCAGTTAAGACCTGCACATTCAACAAACAGATAGAAATATTAGTATACTTTGAACCAACTCAAAAAGGAAACAACAATATACCATAAAGGATCTCCACAAAGATTTTTTTTTTTTCAAACGAGTTAGAAAACATGCCTGTTGGAAATGCCCAACTTGGTTGGTCGTGTCAACAAGATGGGCGGCCTTTCCAAAGAATGTATGAACTCCCGTTGCAATCACAACAGCTTCAAGCTCTCCCTGTTTGCAAGTGGAGCCGGAATACACACCATCTCCTGGACCTTTGGTTACTGGGAGAGATTCACCAGTAAGAGAAGACTACAGAACAAAGTACAAATTATCAGTCTGGAAAGTAAGAAAAACTTAGCATATAATATCCAGAAATTGAAGCTTTGTGCAATTACAGAACCTGATCGATCTTGAGGGGGTCACCCTCGAGAAGGCGAGCATCAGCAGGAACGATATCCCCAAGCTTGATGCTGATTATGTCACCCGGAACAAGAATTGCAGCATCCTGCTCACCCCACCTTCCATCTCGAAGAACCTTCACAAACGTTTTGACAAGAGACGAGGGAAATACATTAAACAGATGGTAAACCAGAAAATGAGTAGCTGAGAACCTTGAAAAAGAATTGTGACACTGTAGACTCTGTGGTTGAAAAACAAGTAGCAATAAGCAAGAATACCAAACCTTTGCTTTAGGAGCAAGGCGTGCCATAAGAGCAGCGGCTGCATTACCGGCATTGTTCTCCTCTATGAAACTGATGGTGGAATTGATCACAAGCAGAGTGATAATACCAACAAAGTCTTGCCAATCAGGAGGCTTCCCCTGGTAAGCATCGCCAAGAGAAAGAAGATATTTAACAGACTTAAACTTTATAAACGAAAAAGAAAATCTTGTAAAAGGGTCTAGAATCTAGAATATGCTCACTCCTCCATTAGCAAGTGCAATAGCCATGATGGCAGCAGCTTCCATCACCCAGGAAAGAGGATTCCACATGAAACCTAGAAACTTGAGGAATTTGCTTTCCTGCAAAAAAGAATAAAATAAAATGGAACTTTGCTTCAGGACATAGAGATTCTGGAATCTTTTGGAGCTATATATAGGCCATGACATATTAAGTAACAAAACCCTAGGTTACAAAATTCCGCCATTGTCAAATTCATAAAGATACAGAAAGCGAAGGGCTAGATTCATCAAAATGGGATGCAAGTGACAGAGAAGCGAACCTTCTTCTCTTCGAGCTTGTTATGCCCAAAGAGGGCAAGCCTCTCATCAGCAGCTTCCGTAGTGAGACCTTCTCTGCTACATCTTAAGCTCTCGAAAACTTCTTCAATAGGCACATTTTCCTGGAAACAAAGAAGCAAAATCATCAAACTCTTTCTCTCCAGCAAAATTTTAACATTAGAGAAACAGAAAAAAAAAATAAGGATTTGAGTAGATCTGTTACCAGATCCACCGTTTCTTTCAAGACGGCTTCGAGTACTTCTTCCTTGTCTCCCATATTATCCTGCTCGCTCTGAGAAAAAAAAAAAAAGAAAAAAACCAGACAAATTATCACCAGAGGAATTTCAAATTCGCCATGGAAACACCAGCAGAAAGCTCCAGTAACAAGAAAAGAAAACGAAGAAAAAAAATAAAAGGAAATTTCGATAAAGTTTTTAGATGTAGAAACCTGTTTATACGAGCTGATATATCCGTCTTCTTCTTCGTTTGAGAGAAGTAGAGAAGATGAGGAAACCGCTAAAGGTTAGTGGCAGTATGGGAAGCTAACACACACTCTCTCTCGCCCCACCCACAATAATATCCTTTCTTTTCTTCTTTCTTTCTTTATTTAACTTTTTAAAAACCTTCCGTCTTTTCTTACGGCCTTTTTCAACATTTTTTCTCCTTGCGTCAATCAAAATATTCAAGAGGCTAGAAGAATCTTTTAAATACAATAGGAAATGAAAGAATCAATTATTAATAGTATTAAATAGATGACTTTTTTTTTTGGGCAAATAAAATAGATGACATTAAATCGTTCATATATAATAATCGTACAATTTTATTGTTTGTTTAAAATATAGCAAATGGGTTAATTTGGGAAAAGATGTAACTAAAATCCAAATTCTGTAATAACCAAAATAGTAGTTTGGAAAAGATGTAATTTACAGGTTAAATCCAAATTCTGTAATAACCAAAATAGTAAATTTTCTAATTAATTAACGCAAGTCTCTAACATAAAGATTAGATGTTTCATTTGTAAAAGCCTCCAACGTACACATTGCCAATCGGGTCAAAATAAGTAACGTACACGAAAATATGTTTCAAAATCCAGTACAAAATACATTTAATATAATAAGTACTCATACTTTAATTTGTCCTACCTAAACACATTAAAGTATCATAAGAAAACAATAAACAGATAGGAAAATGTCAAATCAAGTTATCGTTAGCAAAATAGCAGTGTGAGTTGCCATGAAGAGTAAACCATTAAACGACGTCATATCGCTATGAGTGAATTGGGCGTCGAATGAGTGGGAAAAGAAAAGCCCATGATAATAAATGCATGCAAAAATAAAAGCAAACATAAAAGAACATCCATGTGCATCAAAAAAAAACGGTGGGCCATATGCAAAGAGGTGGTGCCCAAGCGAGATATGGACACGTGTCCAAGAAAACAAACAGTTCACAATTTACCACACACACGCCAAACAAATAAACAACACGACCCACGTGACCCGACCTTTGTTGTTTGTCCTCCTCGCTTTTTCTTTTTTTTACTTAAAGGGATCAATTCCGTACGGTACCCGTCCGTAAAGCGAGAGTGTTTTCCACTTCATGGTTTCTCTCGTTTCTTAAACTTCCATCAAGAACTTGAGTTTTTCTTTTAACTAACAAATAAATTATTATTCAGACCATATTTAGTAACGATGCGTTTTTGTATCAACAATTTGTTCAACTATCTTATATTGGATCAACGATACTTACTGTAACTTGAAGAATATGTATTGGATATTTGAATACGTACCACATCCCTATAGTTAAATATTTATTGGTTTTCCTTTAACAAAAAAAATATTTATTGGTTTTACATATTTTTTTTTTTTGTTTTTCGAAAGTCTTATCTGGATAATGGAAAATTGACTCGGAAATGATCCACATTCAATCAATGTAAAGTCACGCTTTCTTTTGTAAGGAATCTTTCTTTTTCTCTTTTTTTTCTCTCGGCAATGGATAATAATATCCTTTAAGCATTATTTTATCGTTTAGTACTACAGTATTAAATAACTAAACATAAGTACATCGATACAAACCATTATTGCACTTTAGTGTTCTATTACCACATTAGGTTAAGTATACACTCTTTAAAACTGAGTAAACATATTCCACTATAAGAAAGACTGACACCCAATGTAGAAAAAAAGCTTCGAAATCTCATTAATTAACTTGGTATCAACCTGTTTTACACTTAGGAAAAAGAAGTAACGTATGGAGCAAAAAACACAAACCTTAAATCGCTTATATTTAAACATATGAAGAAGAAAAATAACGTGTAGTAGCAGAAGTTGTCCATGACACCATGTAATGGAAGCCCAATTGTTTTTGCTAATTTTTGTTATATATTATTAAAGGCTTGAAGCAAAGACAAACGACGCCGTTTGAGGTGCCAGTAAGGCGACATTTGGGCTTTTGGCCATTAAGAGAAGAAGAATTGCAAAAAAAACGAGATGATAAACTCGGAGCATTAGGCCAATTGGGCTTTAATGAATCTATTTCTCAAGTATTATAGGACTTGCAGCAAGAACTCAGGTGAAGAATATTTCCAAGCCCTTTTAGTATATAAACATCAGTCTCACTGTTAAACTAATTATCATTTCATGGCTCCAATATTTGATAGATTTATATAGAGCCTCGTCGTCTTGTTGGTACCCTCCTGCTCACGATAATTAGTTTTCCATCGATTTAAATCCGACCTGATTTGATGGGATGCAATGGAAAATATGATGGATTTATAAAAGTTTCTTTATATTGTGCAATATTGGCCCTGTTCGTTTGTATGACGTTGCGGCTGCGGCTGCGACCCTGCGATCAAACACTGCCATCAGACGCTGCGATTGTTGTTCGTTTGTTGGTCGTGCGTCTGATCGTCACCTGCAACTAGAATGTCACACGCAGAAAAACATCAACCCACTGTGATTTTAATAAAAGTAATGACATACAAATTAGCAGATATTAGCACATAAACAGAGCTTTGTACTGTAAAATTACTGGAACTTAAACTCTGGAAGTCGACGAATAAATGGCTTTGTAACATTCGATTAAAACAAGCAACACCAATTCTTCTTCATATCACAAAATCGATTAAAACAAATAAGCCTACATGAATCAAATTCTGTAAAAAAACATAAAACCCACATCTCTTATGCACTGCACTAAGAGAATCAATGAACAAAACAAATCAAAATGATGATGAAATCGAAACTTGAGACAGAACTGAGAATCTGAGCTAAATCGATTCAGAGAAATCAAAGCTCAGATCGAGAAATAAAACTCAAGAAAAGCAGATAGTAGAAATCATCAAACCTGATACAAAAGAGTTACTGAATTTCGACTTGAGAAAGATGAAATTGGAGATCAATGGTGAAGTTTGGGTTTCGGCATAGAGAGACGAGCTATTTAGGATAGAGAGTAATTTTTTGTAATTCATAAATAATAATAAGGTTACTTTTGTCTTTTAGTGTTTAATCGCAAATGTTTTAGTCGCGACGCTAAATTTCTTTGGCGACAAAAAAATGAACGCAGAACGCAGCGTTTGGTCGCAGGGGTTATGTCAATTAAACGAACAAACTTTGATCGCATGCCGCAGTCGCAGCCTCTTGCGATAGGCAAACGAACAGACCCATTGTCACTTGTTCAGTTATATTGTTTGGCTGTATTTCATCTATATAAAAAAAAAGTATGACGTTAACTTTGGATTTTTTTTTTATATTGGATTTAAAGAGCATTTTATTAAACATGATTTTTTTTTTTATCGAGGAGTAATAATGTAATTTTCTTGTTTACAAAGTCATCTAGCGTCCGAGAGGGGCCGAACGCTCACAATATGGATTTGCCGGATAAGAAGCAAGGCCGCGACATCGCCGCCGGAATTCTCCACAGCGCCGCCACATCCATCTCTTCCATAATTCCCCTCTTCCCTCCCAAAACGACACCGTCTCGTGTATGCCTCCCGCTTAGATTCTCGGTATCCGACGATCTCTCTCCTTTGGAATCCACGGTCAAGAGCGCATCATCCACATCCACCTCCTCTTCCGGCCTTAATTCAACGGTTAGGATATCATCTCTCAGCTCCGATGGGAAACGCGGTGGACCCGCTTTCGTCGGTCAGGTCTTCAGCATGTGTGACCTTACTGGGACTGGCCTAATGGCAGTTTCTACGCACTTCGACATTCCTTTCATCTCCAAGAGGTTACTACTCTTATTGCCATACTTCCCAGCCGAATTTCAATTCAATTTAGGATTCTCCGGCTCAGTTTCCTTGAGCTTAGAGTATCCGTTCGTTTACTTTACCATGGTTTCATGAGTTGTTTGGGTCTATGTTCTCTTGGTTTCTTAGAGCGAATCAGCCGCTTCAAGATATACATTGTGCCTTTCATCATGTGATTTTCTATTGTTTACAGTTTTTTGTGTCCTCATGTTTTGTTTCTCTGCTGATACACAGAACACCTGAGTGGCTAAAGAAGATGTTTTCAACCATCACTAAGAGCGAGAGGAATGGACCTGTGTTCCGTTTTTTCATGGATCTTGGTGATGCAGGTGCAATGACATTTCCCTTTGTAAGCTTTTTTAGAAATTTGAATTAATGAACTCTAGATTCTACTTGCTTGTATGTTCTCCGAGAGCTGTTTGGAATTGGACTGATATAATTTGAAATGAATGGGAATGGTGATTTTTAAAGGCATCTTAGCATTTCCTTTTCGTCTCCCCATTACTTCTTGCCGTCTATAATTCGCAACTGCAAATCATGCTACTGTATATGCTTTCTGCATGATTAAGCAATGTGTTCCGGTTTGGATTTTCCACTGACGGTGATGTGTATTTTTTTTCTCAGTTTCATATGTTAAAAAACTAAATATTCCAAGCGGAGTGGTTGGGGCTTGTCGACTTGATTTGGCATATGAGCATTTCAAGGTAGGCCTCGATTGGCACAAGTATGTTGAATTTGATTGTAGGAGGGAGACTGAGTTTATTTTGTTTCATATTGCGCAGGAGAAGCCTCACTTATTTCAGTTTGTTCCAAATGAGAGACAGGTAGGAGATACGTCAGTGTGACATCCGTTTCCTTCTTCCAATTTACTGCCGTATTCCCAGCTGAAATGATTTCTGATTCGCAGGTGAAGGCTGCCAACAAACTTCTCAAGTCAATGCCACCAAATGGGAATAAACAAAAGGTGGAGGGCGTTCCTGTTTTCGGTGCTCAAAACTTGGACATCGCTGTTGCAACTGCCGATGGGGTTAAGTGGTGAGCTTTACTGATGAAATAATAATGTGTACTTGGTAGACCATGTGGTTGATACTTTAGCTCGATTCAAACTGCAATGAGATTTCTTACACAATTGGCTGATGTTGAATTTGACAGTTGTGCAAATTTTTGCTTGAAGCGTTTATCACTTGTATGAATTGGATTGTTTGTAGTATGTATCTAAAGTTATCTACCTTTACCAGGTATACCCCATATTTCTTTGATAAAGCTGTACTAGATAACATTCTCGAAGAGTCAGTGGATCAACATTTCCATACTTTAATCCAAACCCGGCACGTCCAACGACGACGAGATGTTGTTGACGATAGCTTAGCTTCAGAGGTTATGGAAGAGATGGGAGACAGCATGCTAGAGCCGCCTGAGGTACACAAATTCATGATAATAGTAAAGATGAGACGATGGATAATGACTATTGTTGGATTGTTCTTAGAAGTTGGTATCGAAATTTTGAAAATTTATGGTTTATGTATCCTCTTGTGTTAATCGAACTGCAGGTTCAAGAAGCCATGGATGAGATTGGCAGTTCCGGAATTCCTCTGAGTGTTGTGGCAAAGGCTGCAGAGATTCAGCTCCTATATGCCGTAGACAGAGTACTTCTAGGCAGCAGATGGTTTCGAAAAGCCACGGGGATCCAGCCAAAGTTACCTTACTTGGTCGATTCTTTTGAAAGAAGGTATGTGTCTCTTGTATCTTTCTCTCTTCCTTGATCTCTTACAAATTCTTCAAAGCTAGGTTTTCATTTTATAAATAATTCGTTGAATGATAACGTTAGTAATTTGATCTCCAGCACCGTTACATTGACACCAAAAACTGTGAACTTTGGACATTTTGACAGTGGCTTTCAGCTCTGTGTACTCAAATTGGAAATGGTTTCAGTCTTTCCTTTTGCTATAAAGTATAAACTGTTGCAAGCAAAACACTTATTAATGTGATGCACATAGACCGACACTAAAACACTTATTAAGTGCCTCGTTTGGCTTCTTATTTCTTTCTCTCGTTGCTCGTAGGAGTGCGTTTTCCATCCAAAGAGCGTCAGGGTCCACAGCTAGATGTATTGGTGATTCAGCAGAAGCGGATACTTCTGTATCACTGCATAAAGTAGAAGACGATGATAATCCAAGCGAAAACGACAAAAGACAGCATAATCTCTGGTTTCCTTTTGGAGATTGGCTTAACCACCCTGGGACGAAAAAAGAACACGCTCAAAAGCATTCATCAGATCAAAGGTACTTGTTCTCAAAAACAAAATTTGGTTAAGGAATAATGGAGTATGCAAATGGTTAAAACATTAGTTTTGGGAGTTTTCAGGGATATGGAATCTAGAGAGAGAGAAATGCAGCAGAGTCCTTTCTTACCAAAGATAACAATGGTAGGGATTTCAACGGGAGAGGCTGCACAGATGAGTAAAGCCAATCTGAAGAAAACAATGGAAGATTTAACAGAAGGCTTGGAGCAGTCTGATGAAGGGAGTGATCATGGCTCGAAGCGTTATGACCCTCTAAAGGTCGAAGAGAGAGATCCTCTGTTTGTTGCAAACGTTGGAGATTACTATTCGGGTTTGGCTAAAGCTGGCTCTGCTCGGTGGTCACGTCGACTTGATGACAGTAACGAAACACATCGTCCTAGGTCATCATAGCCTGCTTGCTTTGTGTGAATCGCTCGAGTCTAGGTGCTATTTTGTTTGTACTGCTTTTAGGGACATATGCATTCACATTTATATGTATTTTATTAATTGCAATTTGTTTCTTTGTTACAATGTTCAAAATTATTATTAAGAATGGGCCTTTTTACCAGTTCAGAAAGTCCACTAGTGGCCCGTTAGTGTTAATTAAACAAGTCTATTTGTTCTTGTGCTGAAATTTCAAGCCTCGTTCATAGATAGATAGATATATCGAGAGTCGAGGAAGCGGAGGAGAGAAAATCTAATAGTCTGGAAAGAAAATTCAAATACTCGTCGACCTCACCAAAGATCTTTGTATTTGAGAGCAAATCCTAAAATCGGCGGAAATATGAAGACGACGAAAGGAGGGAAAGTGATGAACCCTACTGATGCTTACCGCAAGCAGATCCGCAAGAGGGAAATTAAACGTGTAAGTTATCGATGAAATTATATCGGATTGGGATAAATTTTCCTTGTCGATGTTTGATTTTAGGATCTAGAATTGCTCTGTTTGATTTCGATTGGATTCATATGTTACCCTCTGTCCTTATTGATTATAGTATGTTGTGAAGAATTTAACATTGGCTCAAGTGGATAAATCTTCATATCAAGGTTAAGTTTATTCTAAGTTATACCTTTTTTTTGTTGGTGGTGAAGTCCCTTTTGTTGTTATAGGCATTAGAGAAAATTAATATTGGGAGTTTGTAGGAACTTAGAAAGCGAAGAGATTTTTGTATCATATTGTTCATGAGTTGTCTCATTGTCTCGGCAAATATACTTAACTTTTACCTTATTTTTGGTTCAATTATAGAACAAGAAAGAGAGGCAGAAGGTGAGAGAGGTGGGAATTCTGAAGAAGGATCCCGAGCAAATCAAGGAACAGATCAGGAAACTCGATATGTCAAGTAAGTCATGCTCATACTTTTTATAAAATCTCAAGAGTTTATGCTCTGTGGCAACTGTTGAGGGTCTTACTCAACACAAATACAGCTTACCCCTTCTAATCGAATCTGTCTTTAACCATTTCCTAGTTATAGAACTGTTCAATTGTTAATCTCTATGCAAACTAATAGATATGTGATATTTTGATTTGGTGTAGAGGCTGAAGGTGCTTTGGACAAAGCAAGAAAACATAAAAAGAGACAGCTTGAAGATACTCTGAAAATGGTGGTGAAGAAGAGAAAGGTATATCTTATTTCTCTATGGTAGAGTTGGGTTTTATTCTTTTGTCCCCCCCCCCCCCCCACCCCCCCCCCCCCCAACAGTACTCCCAGCTTATGATTTGGCTTCTCTTGTCCTCTTATATACATTTTTTTTTGTTCTTCACAGGAATATGATGAGAAAAAGAAGGAGGAAGGAGAGGCCACAACCTCTGTTATGTTCAGGTGAATAATCACTCTATTCGGTTACTTTTCATCTTTCTCTGTAAGCATTGATTGTTAAGATATCATCAGCTTTCTGTTAGATGTAACATGTTCTTCTCTTCTATGCAGTCATCTACCCCCTCAGCGAAGAACAACATGTGAAGAGGACTTAAAACCAGAGGTACTTAGTTTGTCTTCTTTCTAGTTTCTGCTTGATTTCGTAACAAACCTCCCTCACTTTTCGTCATATCATGACAGGACTCTGTTTATTATCACCCTACATTGAACCCGACTGGTGCACCACCCCCCGGAAAGCCACCAATGTATAATACATCCATAGGTACTCTCTTTTGTTGATGCTGCTTCATACAAAATCTAAACAGTCCCTTTTTTTTGTATATCATAAGAAGGATTTTGTAAAATGTTTTTCAGGACCTAGAATCTCCTCAGATGGTGCTTCGTCTAGCGGTGCTGCATTGTCTTCTAATACCGAGTCAGAAGAATCCGCCGTAGTTGCTCCTCCTCCATTTCCTCCTCTACCGGATGGGAATAATGCTTTATCTGCTTCTTTGCCGCTTCCGCCTCCACCTCCTTTGCCACCAACTACAGGCCTTAATTTGCCCCATCCACCATTTCCGCCACCGCCTCCGGGCCCTCCTCCAAAAGAGCATGATCTGGTTCGTCCTCCACTTCCTCAATCTTCCCAACCGCCTCCTCCTGGTCTAAGTGGGAGTGAAGGCGATGCTAGATTCCATGAATTATCAAATCAAACCTTCGACGAGCGCAAGGTAAACCTAATTCTGTTATTTGATAGCTGTCTTAATTGGTGCTGTTGACATGATTTCGTGTATTAGATGGAGAATGATTGAAACTTGATTACAGTTTTTTTATCTCCATTCTGCAGAACGTTATTGTAACTTCCGTCCCTCCGCCTCCACCACCTGGCCTTCCCTCGAAGCCTCTAAGCAACAACGAATTTGAGAGGGGTCCATCAGAATCTAACGGCAGTAGTTTTCAAAACGCTGACCTCTCTAAGATGGTTGCACCACCACCTCCACCACCTTTACATCAGCAACATCAATCGACATTTGCAGGAGCTGCAGCTGCTTCACTGACTAATTTTCAACCTGATGTTCTTCTTCCTCCAGGAATGTTGCGTTTTCCACCTCCACCGCCTCCACATGATATGCATCCTCCTCTTCCCGGAATGTTCGGTAGTCATCTAATCCCTAGGCCGCCGTATGGCCCACCACCTGGACCACCACCTATGATGAGACCACCACTTCCACCGGGACCACCACCACCGTCTAGTTTTCAAGATGGTCAAGCAATGCTCAGACCATACGTACCAAACAAACCATCTTATGTAAAATCCGCTGCTCCTACTGTTGTCAGGAGACCACTCGCTCAACACACACCTGAGCTTACATCCATGGTGAGTTATATACATGAATTTTCACTTTTTTGGTTTATCTTATGTGAAATCCACGCATCGAATCGAATAGTTCATTTATATGTTGTTATTGATCTGCAGATCCCTGCCTCGGTTCGAGTCAGAAGAGAGTCAGCAGCTGTGACCAAACCAAAGCCAAAGACTTCGATAGCCACGAGCTTGAGTTTTACACCAAGAGCTATGGCTTCTGCTGCAACGGTGAAGGTAGAGCCAGCCAAGACATCTGCAGCTTCAAAGCCACAGAGCATTGATGATTCTTACACAGCTTTCTTGGAGGACATGAAAGCTCTTGGGGCACTTGATGGGTAGATTTTTCGCGTTGTGGTCTTAAAGACTGAAGTTATTGTCTGTATCGTTGAATCAAATCTGTTCTTTGGAACATACACGCTGACACTTTTGTCTCAGTTACCAATTCGAGAAAAACTAACTCATCTTTTTCAGTTTGGACTTTGGAGGATTACAAAGTAGAAACGCTAAAGCATTCTAGAGAACACGTGGTTGAAAATTCTTACCCATAAATTTGTGTGAAATAAGACCAATAATTGATTTCGAATTTCCCCTTTTTGGAGGGTATTAAATTAATGCGACGTGCTTGAATCGATTTCTTGTTCATCCTTCAAATAAGTGTACCGACTTCCTTGCCACTGCGGCAAAAAGATTACGAGATCCTTTTGGTGTAGAAGAAACCAATTATCCAAAGAAGTAGATAATAATAGTATTCCTAGATTCATTATTGATTATTAATGAACAAAATTCAGACAATACCATAACTTGTATATGAAACACAAATGTACGGATGTCATGATGATGCAAGGTCAACAAAGACTTCAGATGAGGGACAAAAGTTTGGAAGTGGGTAATACGGAAATGGTCCAGTTCGTGTGTATTCATTACAATAAGTTAAAAGTTTGTTTCTTTTAGTCAAAAAAGTAAAAAGCAAAATCTTATCTGCGTTCGATAGTGATTTACATATAAATAGTGTGTGAACAGAATTCTTAGGATTTTTAGATTACATGGAATACATCAACACCTAACAACACCAAAGAAGCATAGCTTTTTTTCGTTTTGCATTATTTTTCTTATTCATACGTTGAGAACGCATTACACCATAATAATAGAATATGTAATTTATATAACACTTGTTCAATTTGGCCGCCGAACGAGAGGAATCACTATGTGCATATCCACATGGAAGCAACTAAATAAATCCATATACATATACTAACGAATGAACTTTGAAACCTTTCAAGTGTTCAGTTAGAGTTAAAAGTTATAACCCTACAGGCTATAGATATATATATATAATATACTAACTTTATCTTGTTGTTAGTATACAATTTGTTCCATTATCTACATGACATGACATGGTTGATGAAGCCACACTTTTACCTTCTAGAATATATTCATAACCACCCATTGAATTAAGGATATACTATGATAAGGGGTTGAACTATTTCAAAAAGTCCAACTGGTTCATCATTAATAAAAAAATGGTCCATGCCGTTGAATAAACCAAATTGTCAAAAAAGTAGGTTAGAAATGGGGAATGCAATTAAGAGAAAATGTCGAGAATGGTAAATTTGCATTATTTTGTTTGCTCGAGGCGACTTTAATTTTACCTCAACTAAATCGTTGACATGGCTTCTAATGTCGAGAGAAAGATCTAAGTTTGTGGACCATTTTTCAATCTGCTCCTACATGGCCCGCTTTGATATATATAGTTCGATGGATTCTATAGTATAATATCGTCCTAGTGGGTTGTTCAAATTATTCGGTCGTCTTTTATATTTGATCATCTCATTTTTAACGCTTTTAGTAAGTTTGTAAACGATTCATTACAACGTATACTATGACTTATTAATAAGATTTTACTAGATGAATGTATTGTATCACCTAGTTTACATTTTATTTTATTCTTACTTAATAATAATTAATTTTTAGCTAACACAATTTTCAGTTACTATTAATCAAAAGCTAGATCATTGCATTGTCAGACTATATTAACTAACTAACATTTTCAATTGAAAAAAAAAAAGATTAGTAACATTTCCGCAAACTGTTTTCTCTATTTTGATGAAACACACTATAAATTATATAAAAACCAATGTAAATTCATTAGTTTTTGTGATTTATCCATCTAGTTATGTACAAGGCGATGGATCTTCTAGTTTCTTTCTAGATTCTTAGAAAAATTCAATTTTTATTTTTTTGTTTGCCAAATCAAACTTTGTGAACGTTGACAAAATTTTATTCTAATCGAATTTAATTTTTGAGATAGACAAATTAGCGTAACCGTCTCACCATACCCAAGAAACTATTCACTTTTTCTCTCTTCAGGTTTCTTTATTTTATTTTTTTGACGTATAGTTCGTATTAAAACACCACCACTATGTTCCTACCTCTTTTACCACATAAATACACAAGACTTATATGTATATATAGCGTTGAGTCTCTTGTGAGAGAAAAAGAGACAGAGCTGTATTGTCACATAGCTCAATGATGGAAAAGACGAATCAAGCCATCGTTATCTTCCTCCATCTCTGTTTCCTACTCTCTGCAACAACTTCTCATCCACTTTGCTCAGATTCAAGTAAGCCCCCTCTTTTTTTATAAGCAAAGTAAGTGTTCTGCTCACATGTCGTTTTGAGTTTAAGTGATCTTGTGTTCATGTCGTTTTGTGTGTTTCGTCTTACTTTTGTCAGAGTCTCAAGTCAACACCAACGAGACGCTTCAGTTCTGCGATTCCTACTCAGGACGAACTTGCTGCAGTTCCAAAGATGATCTTGAATTGCAGAATCGCTTCAACTCCATGAACATCTCTGACACAAATTGTTCTTCCCTTCTCAAATCCATCCTCTGTGCTGTAAGTCCCATCCACTTTCCTTCATTTTCCTCAATAAATCATCCAAAATCGAGAAAAGGATAGATCTTTCACTTACCCATTCGCTTGTATTAAAGATTCTCAGAAACCACTGATTCTGAATCTCTGAGTTCCTTTATTTCCCCAGAAATGTGATCAGTTCTCTGGACAATTCTTTAGTGATGAAACTTCTGAAATTCCAATTCTCTGCAACTCAACTTCTCAAGATTTATGCTCAGAGCTATGGGAATCATGTCAGAGCATCTCCATTGTCTCTTCTCCCTTTAGTCCCACACTACTAGGCGGTGCTACTTCGCCTTCACCCTCCTCAAATTCATCGACACTAACCGATCTCTGGAAGTCTCAAACCGAATTCTGTACCGCCTTTGGTGGACCATCTGAAACCAACAACAACATAACCAAATGCTTCAACGGTAAACCGGTTAACCAAGGCACTGATACCGATGATGGTGTAAAGCCACCTAAAGGGATATGTGTTGAGAAGATAGGAACCGGGTCTTACCTCAACATGGTGGCTCATCCTGATGGCTCGAACCGGGCCTTCTTCTCTAACCAACCGGGTAAGATATGGTTGGGAACAATACCGGATCAAGACTCAGGTGAGGCGATGGAGATGGACGAATCAACTCCTTTTGTTGACATAACCGATCAAGTCAGTTTCGATACGCAGTTCGGTATGATGGGAATGGCGTTTCATCCAAAGTTCGCAGAGAACGGGAGGTTCTTCGCGTCTTTCAACTGCGATAAGGTCAAATCTCCGGGATGCTCTGGTCGTTGTGCTTGCAACTCTGATGTGAACTGTGATCCTTCTAAGCTTCCTAAAGACGATGGCGCTCAGCCTTGTCGCTATCAGACCGTCGTGGCTGAATATACCGCCAACGGTACTTCCTCGAGCCCTTCAACGGTTAGTTTTTGAAACTTCAAAAACAGATTCAAGATGTGTTTCTTGGGGATCAAGATTCTGACAAAGACTGGTGTTGTGTGTAGGCGAAGACTGGTAAGGCATCTGAAGTGAGGAGGATCTTCACTATGGGACTTCCTTATTCGTCATCTCACGGCGGTCAGATTCTCTTTGGTCCCGACGGGTATTTATATCTCATGACTGGTGACGGAGGAGGAGTTTCAGACACTCACAACTTTGCACAGAACAAGAAGTCGCTGCTTGGCAAAATCTTGAGGCTTGATGTCGATGTTATGCCAAGTTAAGTGACGGAATCGATTGTATCTGAAACTCTGTCTGGATTCGGTGTTTGAATTCTTATTTTTTTATTGTGTGGTAAAACTCTGCAGGTGTATCTGAAATCTCTCAGCTTGGTTTATGGGGAAACTACTCTATCCCAAAGAACAATCCTTTCCAAGGCAATGAAGATCAACAGCCTGAGATTTGGGCTTTAGGGCTTCGAAATCCGTGGCGTTGCAGCTTCGATTCCGAAAGGCCAGATTACTTCTTGTGCGCAGATGTCGGAAAGGTTTGTTTTTTTCTTGCGGTGTAAGCTTCAAACCCTGTAATCATGCGGAGAGTTTCTTACGAATTTTAATGTAACAGGATACATATGAAGAAGTCGATATCATAAAAATGGGTGGAAACTATGGCTGGAGAATCTACGAAGGACCTTACGTTTTCTCTCCGTTGTCGCCTTTCGGAGAGAATGTTTCTGCGGTTTCAAACCTAAGTTTCCCGATTTTAGGTTACAACCATTCTGAAGTTAACAAACATGAAGGATCTGCTTCCATCATTGGAGGTTACTTCTATCGATCCCAGACTGATCCTTGCTCTTATGGCACGTAAGTCAAAACGCTAAGCCCTAAACTCTAGATACATATTCCTAAATCATATCCTAAATCATCCTCAAACCTGTTTTGTTTCAGCTACTTGTATGCAGATCTTTATGCAAACGCGATGTGGGCAGCGATAGAAACACCAGAAGCTAGCGGAAACTTCACGGACTTTCAAATACCGTTTAAATGCGGCGAGGATTCGCCGATGAAGTGCACGGCGGCTCCAGGAGGAGCTGGGTCAGGACCTGCACTTGGTTACATCTACTCTTTTGGACAAGACAATAACAAAGACATACATTTGCTCACGAGCTCTGGTGTGTACCGAATTGTTCGTCCTAGTCGCTGTAACTTTGCTTGCTCCAAGGAAAACACCACTGCTTCTACCGGAAAACAGAGCCCTCCTGGTGCTGCTGCTCCTCCTCAGCCTTTACCTTCTTCTGCAAGAAAACTCTGTTTCTCTGTGATTATGTCATCGTTGTTGTTGTTGTTGTCGTCGATGTGTTAAACGGTCTTAGAATGCTGATTTATTATAGTTTCAACCTCTATTTTGTTACAGTCATATGGATAATTTTCAAAAACTATTTGATGATTGCTTGCTTGATTTACAAGGAAGAAAGCACATAAAAGATCAATACGAAATCTAAAGCCCAAAAGATGGACCAAGGAGCAAGGCATCAGAACATGAGAGAATAAGTTTGGAATATCAATACCTCTTTATCCTCACAAAAATACTACTAAGTCATCTTGTCATCATCGGCACATGAGAAAAAGTTTGGACCAGTGATATAGACTTTGCAAAAAATACTAAGAAAAATTGTTTATTATTATCATCTTGTCAATACAAATTTGGATAACTCTTTAAAAATAAGTTTACGTAAAGTTGGTATTGGGGGTGTTACACTGAGAACAGACACATTGGTTGAAAATACACCGTGTGATAGCACACCCGGGACAATGATTATGACAAACATTGTCGTTGTTGCAAGACCCTCCACGTTGTATCGTTACATCTTTCATTTCTCCACTAATTCTTGCCTCTCCTTTCAATGCACCTACACAAACACATAACCGAGTTAAGAATATGATTCATAGATCAAAGCGGAAGTAGCCGAGGAGGCCATACAATATTACAAAACATCACGAATCATTTAAAAAAATATGATAATTAAATTTATAGTTGAACGATGAAACTCACATGAAAGGGACAACAAGAAGGCAAGAAGCACAATTTTCCTAAACACCATTTGCTCCATTTCTGATATAGTATTGATTTGCATTAGGCAAACACATTCTTCATATATTTATATACACAATTGTAGTCTACGATAAAATTATTTCTTGCCAAAAATATACAATGCCTTATTGATATTGCGACGACATGTTTAAGGCAGAAAATCTGGAAGATTCTCATAGATTTTGTCATTTTGACATGAAATCTTCATAATTTTGATTTTTGACTTTTGAAAGAATATGAAATCTCCATAATTTTTATATTTGAAAGACAAGATATGGAATTAAAAAAATATGACAATCGATTCAGAATTTTTTTTTTTTTTTTTTAAACTTCCTAAAATCAATACAGATTAAGTGGTGTTATTACGATCGTTAGTTCGTTACATTCGATAATTTGGGTTATAGAGGAGATAAGTAACCGTAGGAGCCCATTATAAATTTAGTTATTGGGCTCTCTCACACATACCCGTTTCGAGGATGTAATCAGCTCTGCTACAATCTCAATGAGGATAATACATTAGCAAAACGAAAATAATGATAACATTTTCAATTCCTTTTCGACGAGCCTGAATTGATATTGGGCGGACCATCAAAATGAGAAAAATTGAGGCCCAACATTAGTACGTGATTACGACTGTTGTATATACATTAGTTCTAAATTATTAATACTGTAACTTCTTTAAACAAATTTAATTCGTGAACTAGGGTTTACAAAAGGAGAAGAGGATACATATATATATACTTGGTCTACTGGAGTTAGGGCTATTTAGGTGCGGGAGTCAAGAATTACAACATACAGAGACATCATTATGAAGAGCGAAAGGGAAGAGAAGAAGAACAAGTCACCAAGGTCTCTCACATCGCATCCGAAACGAAGTCGGGGCTGCCGTGAAATCTCTACTGGAGAAATCGATTTCATCCCTCGTGATCTAACGGTGGAGATTCTCAAGAAACTCCCGGCGAAATCTCTTGTGAGGTTCCGATGCGTCTCGAAGCAATGGTCATCAATTATCGGATCCGATAGAGAGTTCATTGACTCAATCGTGACTCGTTCTTTGACACAGCTGCAGCGTCCCCACTTGATCTTCCACCATTCTCCGTCAAATTTCTTCATCTTCTCTTCTACATATCCTCACGACACAGAGAAACAAAAACTCACACCTAAAGTGTCACTCCCTCACCACGCTATTGAGTATCGTTACATCCGAGGTTTGATCTGTTGTTCGATGCTAGAACACAATTTGGTCACAATATATAACCCTACCACCAGACAATCGTCTGATTTACCCGAGATCAAATCTCCTACATGGCCATTCGAGATTAGTTACTCCTTGTTCGGTTACGACCCAGTCATGAATCAATACAAAGTATTGTGCTTGTTTAATGGGTTAGGAAACTTGGAGCAAAGCTGTCGAATTTACGCATTGGGAGATCCACAGAGGCAATGGAGGAACATTTAAGGCATTGAGAATCGATATCCAACAATCAATGAGGTATGCATCGACGGGACTATATATTATGGAGCAGCTAGACTTAGGTCACTTGTATCTACATTACATTATACTGAAACTTCATTGCTGAGTTTCGACGTTAGGTCCGAGAGATTCGATCATGTCAAAACTTCAGAACCGTTGTCGGAAATGATTTTTAAAACCTGTGTTTATCTCAACACTCCTACTATGGTGAATTACGGAGGGAAGTTAGGATGCATATGTAGGAGAATCAATGGTGCAGAGTCAGAGATGTGGGCTATGGAGAATGCTGAGAAACAAGAATGGTCCAAGATGATGATCCTTTTGTTGCGTGGTCCGGTTGGTGATTTTAATTTTGATCATCATCGTCTTACGGGCGTAACTCGTGATGGAGACATCTTTGTGGTCAACGATATGTATCGTGAGCCATTTTACATCTACTACTATGATCCGAAGCGGAAAAGTTTTAGAAGGGTTAAAATCGAAGGCACTGGACCGGGAATACTAAAAGATAATAAGGTTGTGAGTAAAGTAGCTGTTGATGATCATGTTGAGAATACAATGTGGTTGTAGTGTTCCTCATGTATTATGATCCTAATTTCTTTAACGATTAGAACTCGATTGTGTTATCATGGGGGGCGTTTAGACTTATTAAAGCAGAAAACACAAGACACACAATTGGTTTACGTATGGTTGAATTCATCGATGACTTTTCATAGTTGTGTTATCCCTTAATTAATAGTGTTTTCTTGATGGATTGGTGATGCTGAACACACATGCAGTTTAGGTACGTGATAATAATACTGTGCCCAAGAAGTAAAAAGAAGAGCATGAAACAATTGCTCAAACAAACTAAACCACTTAAACTTTGGTATTATAAAATGCCTTGCGTTGCAAGAATAGCTAAGAGCTTGAGGAGAGGCTTTGATTGTTTAGGAAAAAAGATTTTGAATCACCTTCTTTCTTTGACCATCGAATTTTATTATTATAAACAGACACTCCAATAAAAAATGATAACAAGCCATATCTGGATTTGTGTTTGAATTTACGCCAACCTGAGGAAAACATTAAACACCGACGGTTCAATTGTTGGTTCTTGATTCAATTTCTTTGGTTTACCAGCATATATAATATGGGCTTCTCAGTAAATCACCGGGCCTGATCTGGGCTGGGCTGTTTAACTTTCGATTTCCCTCATCCTTTTCCATAAGAAAAACACCTTTTAAAGAAGAGCCCATAATATAATGGGGAGCCCAAGTCTAAAAGTAATGAAACACTAAGTAAAAAGCAGCCCAATTGTAGCCCAGATTAAGAAAGAAGAGTGGGAGATTAATCGATCAAAAACCAAGCTTCGATGATAACGGAGAAGAGAGCTTCGTTCCTTTTTGAAGATCGATTAGAGTTCGTTGAAACAGAAGTGTTTCTGTGTAGTAGTCGATTATTTTTCCTTTTGGTTTTCTTCGGTTTAGCTTTTGTTGGACTTTGACGAATGCTAAAATTCAGCAGGTTTTTGAATTTTCTCACTATTTTCAAGTCTCGAATCTCTGTGTATCCTTTCGGAATGCCAAATTTAGCTTATTGATGATAGACTGTTTCAAGTGCCGCACCTTGTTAGATTTGATCACATATACACAAAATTTTCGAGTTGGTGGCGCCGGGGTCTAAATTAGGAGTCTTGATGTTTAGATGATTCTTCAGTGAGAGAATATCAGTTCGTTATCTGAATTTTTAATCGATTTCTCCTCGAAATATGTTCACAAGCTTGCGTTTTTTTTTTGGGGTGGATGATCAAATGGATTTAACACAAGTATCTGATTACACAACATTTTATGTTAATATTGTAATATTCATGCTTGATGCCTCTGGTTTGTGCATTTCTTGCATGAAAACAGCCTTTTTTTTCAAATCTAAATTAAAGTTTGGCCTTGTCCTAATCGTAGGTTATCATCTCTGGTGCTGTACCAAGTGTAAGATACAGTTGCTCTTTCTCTCTGAATGTGAATTTCATAGTTGTTGCAGCGCTGATTTTGCTTTTGAATTTCTTCTTCTTGCCTTTCCTCCAAGATATAAAGGTAAGAGACTTACGATGGCTTGCGATATAGAATTTGGAGCTTAATTCGATGGGAACTATCTCTATTAGGTGTCGTGATATAATCCAAAGTAGCAAACTCTAGGTTTGAGAAATGAATCGAATTTTGATGGAAATTGAATGCTGCTGTGGTTAGTCGATGTATAAAACAAATTCGATTGGTTTACTTCTGTTCTAATACTATCTTGTTTGATTGATTTAGCGATGGACCAGTCGTGCATCATTGTTCTCTGCGGGAAGTCCTCTGTGGAAACTGAAATAGCAACGCGTTTGAAGAAAGATAACGTGCTTAAGCTCCAAGATAATGCCAAAGTTTCAATCTTCTTACAAACTGAGGCTGAGGCTTTATTACCCAAAGACGAGAATTCCTTCAATCTCTCCTTGTTCATGGACTCCATTTCAACTGATCGGTTTGGTCGGTTTCTCATCTGGTCTCCGAGGTTGTCTTCCACTCACGATCTTGTTTCTCCGTAAGCATCTCTACATATCTCTTTGGTTCCCTTTGTGAAACTTTTTTTGCTTGTTGAAATCCTTTCTTTTTGTTTCTTACAGCAACTTCTCTGAGCTTCCAATTGGCACAGTTTGTGTCACTGATGTCCAGTTTAAGGGTCGAGGTGAGAGTCTTTAACAATGTTAGATTAGACTGTGACCATGTAGAATTTGGAAAGTGACCCCTTGGAAACGTGTGAATCAAATGCAGGAAGATCAAAGAATGTCTGGGAATCTCCAAAGGGTTGTCTTATGTATTCTTTTACTCTACAAGTTGAAGATGCTAAAGTTGTGCCTTTGATACAGCATGTGTTATCTCTTGCTGTCACGGAGGCAGTGAAAGCTCTTTGTGACAAGAAGGTGTGCCTCTTTTGCATCCTTTTTGCATCAGAAATTTACCTCTCAGTTTCGCTAATGTTGAAGTTCATCGATTTCAGGGTTTGCCTTACATTGACATTAAAATAAAGTGGCCAAATGATCTCTACTTGAATGGTCTTAAGATTGGAGGCATTTTGTGTACCTCTACTTACAGATCAAAAAAGTTCGATGTCAGTGTTGGTAATAGACATGTTTCTCTTTACTCTTTACAAGTTTATGTTTCTCAGACTTGATTCTTCTTTTTAGTTTATAAGAAACGACAAAACCGCTTCTTCTCGTAGGTGTTGGACTGAATGTGGACAACGAGCAACCCACCACATGCTTGAATGCAGTACTAAGAGACCTGTCTCCCACATCAAACCTATTTACAAGAGAAGAAATTCTTGGTGCTTTTTTGCATAAATTTGAAACATTCTTTGATCTACTCATGGCCCGAGGTAAAGTAAATTCACTCTGCTGCTTCTTTGTCCCTTTAAAACAATTTCTGTTTGATTGATAATTTTAGATGAGATGAGTGTAAGAGATATGAAAGTCTTATTATCATTTTAATTACAGGATTTAAACCTTTCGAGGAGCTTTACTACAGGACATGGCTTCATAGGTAACGGTTGAGTTTTCTCTGTGCTTGTCATAGACTAACCATCTTTTAGAGTAAAGAAGGGAATATTGTTACTTGTAAATACTTAATGTTACGCATAGGATAATCAACTACACGTTCTGCTAAATATGTAGCCTGTTATTAACTTGTGGTCGTATTGGATTCTTTTAATATATTCACATCAACTTTTGGGAATAAAAACTTTACTGTGTATCACACATGTGCAGCGAGCAGAAAGTGGTTGTTGAAGATAAAATAGAGGACAGAGTTGTTCAAAACGTTGTGACCATTCAGGTAGGATTGGTTTACACTCTTATGCTTTCGTCAAACATTATCAAATACATTGTCTTACTCTTGTATCTCCCATGACTTTTCAGGGTGTGACATCTTCGGGATATTTGTTAGCTACTGGAGATGACAATCAAATGTATGAGCTTCATCCTGATGGAAATAGGTATTTTTTTCTAGCATGTGGTAATCGAAGAACGAAGATTGAATCTGACTAAATAGATAAACATTGCATCTACATGTTATAAAAACTGATATGGAGTAATTTTCTGTGCAACTGCAGTTTCGACTTTCTCAAAGGTCTGGTCCGAAGAAAATTATGATCCAAAAATTACTTGCAGCATCTTCTGTTACAAGCAGCTCTTTTTTTTTAGCAACATGTACACAAGTAATATTTAGTTTCGATCATCATTTGTGTTTTCTTTCACTGTAGATATTGTACTAAAATCATACTAAAATGTTATGGAATACTAAAATCTACTCTCTATTAACATAAATTGTAATCAGAAACAGAAAATCAATATCTAAACTATGAAAAGCCAAAACCAAAATAAGAAAGGAATAAAAGAATGAATAATTAATAGAAGATTCAACAAGAAAAAAAAACATCTATTTTAGATTTCGTTCCCCAAGATTCAAGAGGATATATATACTACAACCAAAGCTATCTGCAATGAAATGCTACCAAAAAAAAGCTCTTGGGATTTCTATTTCATCTTATAAACCAAAGAGAAACACAGAGTGTTATGGTTTGTGTCATCTCATGTTGCAGCACTGAGGCTTTCCTGTCAAAACCAACTTATCCCACAAGCAAATCATCTGTCTCGGCGACTGATAATGCGCCGTCAAGTAATTCTCTATGCACCCAAACTGACAAAACTTGAGGCTGTGAATGTAATCCACCGGTCTGGTCCCGTTGTTGAATTGTTCTACCCACATTCCCACACTCACATCTTCCATTTTGAACATCTGTACGAGGGACAGTAAAAAACAGAGTTATCTAAATATGCATGCTCTGTTTCGAGATGATTAAGTTGGAAAATTCTGTTGTGGTGGCGTACCCTTAACTTGTGTTTCTCAAACTCTTGTACGATGAAGCGAGAGATATCGTTTGATAATATGTACCCAGGGCCATTGGCATAAGCTGGATAGTCTTCCTCTGGCCATTCCTGGAGAAACAAAAACCCGAATGTTAATTAGGTTCTGAAATTTCAAAAAAAAAATGATTCTTTAAGCCAAAGATGATAGCTTTCTTTAGTACCTCGTATGTAACAGCCCATTTACCCTGGCGTTGCGGTTTGTGATAGTAATTGATGTTGCCAATGTATAGACTTGTATTCGCAGGTGTTCTCTTCGCTTCACTAAGAACCGCATCCACTTGTACAAATGTGTCATCATCACACTTCATGATGAATTTAGCAGCAAGCTGATGAGCCTGAGAAATAAAAATAAACTCCGGTATTTCAAAAAACTGATGAGCATCAAGTGTTTGTTCTTAGAATCAGCGGACTCACCCCGTACTCACAAATCGCAACGGTTTTGAGGACAACAAGGTCATAACTGTCCATGTAAGGGACTATAACTATGTCCCCAAAGAACTCAGCTTCCTTCTTCAGCTCCACATTCACTTCCTTCCTCGTGTGCTGCCCATATTAAAACAGATTTCATCTCTTACAATCTTCAAACGATAGAAGACCAAGATCACTAGTAAACATGATCTAATTTAAAAACTTACCAGTGCAACAAAGAAGCGAGCCACTACTTTAGAGGATTTCACTAGTTTATGTTGCATCCACGACTTCCTCACAGCCATCCGCTCAGCAAAATGGTTACCAGCAGAAAGTATGCCAATGAACATATCAACCTGCTCATCGGGAAGTGATGGGGCTTGCCAGTTGCTCGAGAGCTCGAGATACCTCTGAGGAGAGAAGCTATGGTGCGAACTCGGGAGAGAGCCGGCGAAAACCGAATGTACATCTATGTCCCCGTTAATGGTCAAGCCAGTAGCATCCTCAAGCGTGAATCCCTTCATGTGTAAGCCATAACAAAGAACAAAGCATCACTTTCAATGCTATTTTTACTAATCAAAACCACAACAAGTTTAAGCCAAAAAGTAATCCGCTTACAGTTCGGTAAGGGAAGGACGTGACGTGCTTCCCGTCGACGCTGACATGATAGCCTTCCAAGCCAGCGCTAAGTGTAAGCACGAAAAGCTTGTCAACAGTGAATGGGAATGGCCATTCAACAGTCACTTTCTTGCTCCGACCTATCAGTCGACTAAGCCACCATGTCTCCGCCTTGCTAGACTCTTCTTTCGATGTGATGCTATCATCTCGTGCCCATTTCTCGCACTTAACCTGACCATCAACTACAAGCCATTCTCACCAGTTTTAGTATATCCCCAAACATAACAGTTAAGCAAAAAAAGAAAGAAAGATGATTTGAACATTACTAACCAGTTTCTTCGTCATCCCTAGATCTCCAGCCTTCACATCTTTGTGCTGAGCCCCATTGCATTCTATAACAAGTGTTGTGCTCAATCACAGGCTTGCCGCTCCAATCGCCCTTAAGCCTCGGATTCAAGTGGAGGATCCGAGGTGGCTCTTCCCCTTCCACTGCTTTCAAACCCTGAAGCTCAAGCTTGAACTGAGAAACCTTCACAGCTTCATCTCCTTCCTTCAACATCGATATCTTTGGGTCCTTCTCCGAGTGAGCAGCTCGTGGCTTCCCAACCACCGTAATGTGCGATCCCAGGGTTAACCCGCACGGAAGCTCCATGAGGTTCGCACGGTTCGAAAGAGCAGAGCCGGTTAAGGAAACCGAGAGAGGGCAGGAGCTTGACCCACGTTCCTCAGTCTTCTTCTTCTTCTCCTTCTCCAAGGATTCTAGTGTTTTCCCAGACTCTAGCTCTTCCCATAGCTTCCGACCAACTTCCCAAGCCACCTTGGCGGATTTGTGGAGCTCCACCGACCCATCTTTGCTACCCGGGTTGAATGTTTCCGGGTCGAATTTCAAGCTAGACAGGATCTGGGTCCTCCTCCTCCTCCTTAAACCCTGAGCCGGCGCTTCCGAGACTGATCCCTCGAAAAGCAGACTCTTTAGAGGCCGACTCGGAGCTCGTCGCTCTTGCAACTCTCGCTGGCTATTGTGCTTCTCGGGTCGGGTTAACGGATCCTGGGACAAGGAACCGAGCCCGGTTTTGAAGACGAAAGGGATTTCGAATGTGATGAGGAGCATGTAGAGTAAACCAACCGCCAATAGGATCTGAACCGATCTCTGCTTGCTCAGAGATACGAACATGTCGAATTTCTCCAACCTATCGAGTTTCGACAACTTCGGCTTCCTCATTCCTAAAATTTAAAAGGTGATGGATGATCAAGAGGAAACGGAATCTCCAAGTTCAAAATTTTCTTTAAAAAAAAACAATTTTTTTTTTGAGAAATCACGATGGACGAGAACAAGAATCAGATGGGTATATTAGTAACTCGGGGGGAAAAAATCAAAACCCTTAAACACGAAGAGAAAATTCAAGAACTTTCCTTACGGAAAGAAAAATCGTGGGTGAGAAAATTCAAAACCACAAGAAACGCAAAAGGAAAGACTTTTAATCTTGTAAGCGTGTGTAATGGTGCGAGAGAGGAAACAGAAACAGAAGAGGAAGAAAAAAAACGCGTAAGGAAGAGAAGAAAGGAGAAGGAAGGATGGAAGAAGACAATCCTTTCTCCTTCTGAGTTAGTGCTGCTGACGTCCGAATAAACCGCCGTTCTGGTCCATCTCTCTTTTCGAATCTTTTCTTCGCTTTTAAATCTCTTTTTCTTCTTCATTCTTTATTTAATTTAGTTTCCGATTATGTATTAGATTCCTTGGATTTATCTTTATGGACGGTAGAATTCAATTAATTTAAAATTCTATACATCAAATATATAAGAAAGGTAAGTCCACCAATAAAATAAAGCAAAACTGTTCGATTTGTTTTTCTCTCCAAATTTAAAGCTCACTTGAATCCGAAATTTACTTAAGGCTATAGCAATCAAAGGATGTGATATAATTAGCTGGTTTCTTGTTTTTTTGTTTAAACAGTGTGATAATCGATTGAATCATATTTGAACAAGGTTTTATTATATTTTACTAGATACGATTCTTGTTTTGATTTAAATTTTTGTCGACTAATTTTATTTATTGCGGTGCTAAATCGGTCAACTGTGTGATTACTGTACTAATTTGTATTACTGATGGCACAGAAGGACTCTCTCATGTTATTTTGACTTTTTCTCTTTTAGGTTTCTTAATTCCAAAACTGAATTGTCTGTAGTTTTGATTTGAAATGTTTCTATTTTCATGCTTTATGCGATTTTGTTTTGGCATTGGAAGCTATTCGATTTTCTCTTTTCTTACATTGAGAGAGAGGTTTTAATCAAACCTAGGCTAGAATGCTAGATCATCCAGCTATTAGAAACAACAATAATTTAATAAAAACAAAATCAAATCATGATCAAAATGTTCTTTGTTTGATAAAACTAAAGTTGATACAATGTCATCTAAAATTGTAAGAAATATGGATGGTCTTTGTTTTTAATTTGAAACTATTTATTTTTTCACAGTAAACAAAATACAGTCTTTGTAGTCAAAATATTTTAAGATTTATCTTTAGAGGTAGAAAGTGTAAAGTGGGACCAAAGTGAATAGTGGGGAGAGAAGTGGGATCAAAGTTGGGAAAAGAGAAAACGAGGAGGAGACTTGGGGGGCTTCATGTGTGACACCTTTGCATCCAGATGTCTTCTCTTTCTCCACTTGTCTTTTCCACCTTTTTTCACTCTCTTCCTTTTTTTCTGCAATAATCCAAATTTAAACATATTAATATATATATATATTATATCATCTGAGAAAAATAAAAAAGCAACGTCTAATTTTTGTTTGTCTATAAATTTCGAGTCGGAATTGTCGTTGTAAATGTCAGAGCTTTTTATTCTTCTCGTGATTGTTAGAGCATTCAAACGATTTTAAATCAATAAATATTACAAAACATTGTTTTAGAGCGTTTACATTTCTATATTCAAATCTAACTTTTAAATAGTCTTTTTATGAATGAATATAAGAGTTTTCAAAAAGATCGCTGTAAAAACACCCACTGATTATTCCATGAAAGAAAGCCTTCAACAGAAGTAAAATATTTTTTAAAACCGTGACCCAATTTGGATCATTTGTGGGCTTATATGAAAAGGCCCATAGATGTTTTTTTAATAAAGCAAGGCCCATAGATGTAAGTTATATGATGTAACTTAAGGAGGCCCCTGAAGTTGAACCAAAGCAAGAGGATCGTCTGAACTCTGAAGGAAGCATTATGATCCTATAGTCTTACAAAGGACACATAACATCTCTGTACCAAAATGTTTATAGAAGTCAGTTCATATGTAATGTAAAGTATAACAAAGTTAAAAACTTGTAGTAAGAAGTAGTAACATGATGGGATGGGACCAAATAAGTATATTTTTTTAGTATAACAAAAGACTTATAACACACTTCCTCATCGTCTCTCTCACACACAAGAGACAAGACACAACCCTATAGGCTATAACCACCTCTCAAAGGTAAAGTCTTTTTTTTTGCTTCATTTATATTATCAAGTTCCTCACTTCTCGGATCCGGGTCCTAAATCTGGGTCAACCAACCTTTTCACGATTGCCGAGTCGTCGGAAAATGGATCCTCCACTAGTGAACGACTCCTCCTTCTCCGCAGCCAATCCTTCCTCCTACACTCTCTCCGAGATTTGGCCTTTCCCTGTTAACGACTCCGTTCGCTCTGGTCTCCGTTTAGCCGTTTCTTCCGGTCGAGTCTTCACCCGCCCTGAGTCACTTGAACATTCCGGCCATAAAGACGTCTCCACGGCGGAGGAATCTACGGTCACCGACCTAACTGCAGGCTGGGGAGGAGCACGAAAGACTAGAGATTTGAACTCTGAGGACGATTCTTCTAAGATGGTTTCTTCTAGCAGCAGCGGTAATGAATTGGTGAGACTTTTTTTTGCCTTACATTGAAACCAGAGACCAGAGATTTGATCTGTTTCAGTATTTGGAACCTGTAACCGAAGTCTGAATCTAGATCCTCAGCTTGGAGATGATCCAATGAGTCAAAGCACAGTCTTTAATTTAAGGATCAAGGATTAGTTGTTTATATAGGTTCCATTGACTTTTTCTTTACTAAGTTGGAATGAGCCTGAGACCTTCAGTTTGATAGATGTTGTCGCTGATCATTGTTTCTATATATAGCAAGTGTTCTTAGATCGAGAATTTGAGTTAGGATCTTAAGCCTATCTGTTTGTCTTTTTTTTTGTGTAATAGAAAGAATCTGGCGATAAGAAAAGAAAAAGGTGTGGATCTGAAAGTGGGAATGGGGAAGGTTCGATGAGACCTGAAGGCGAAACGAGTTCGGGTGGTGGAAGCAAAGGAACCGAACAGAAGAACAAAGCCGACCCACCAAAGGATTATATACATGTGAGAGCAAGAAGAGGACAAGCTACTGACCGGCATAGTCTTGCGGAGCGAGTAATTCTTCTGCTATATATCATCACATCGAAATCATCAATCCTATAAAAATAAAAATGTTTATTTACTTACAATCATAATTGGTCCTTGACAGGCCAGAAGAGAAAAGATCAGCGAGAAGATGACGGCTCTTCAAGATATAATCCCAGGATGTAATAAGGTAATTGGCACCAAAGTCTTCTTTTTGAGTGATGTTCTGTTGTTAGTTATACTTAAAAGCAACCTCAAAACATTATATATGTTTCCCGTTGATTCAGATCATCGGAAAAGCCCTTGTGCTCGATGAGATCATCAATTATATTCAGTCATTACAGCGACAAGTTGAGGTAAAACAAAAACCGTGAAATCCCTCTCCTCTCTCTGTTTAGATGTTTTGCAATGTTACATGCCTTAAAAAACGGGAATTTGGTCTGCAGTTTCTGTCAATGAAGCTAGAAGTTGTTAACTCCGGTGCGAGTACTGGTCCGACAATAGGAGTATTCCCTTCGGCAGATGTAAGTCCCTTTGGAAAAAAAAAATCTGATCTTTTCTTGATGAAACTAGTAAACCTATAAGCTCTTGGTGTTGTGTTTACAGCTGCCGATTGATGTTCATCGAACTATATACGAGCAACACGAAGCTAACGAATCCAGGGGATCTCACCCTGAGTGGCTCCATATGCAGGTTGATGGGAGCGACTTTAACCGAACCACATAAATAATCTCTTCTTTGATGTTTATGTTTTTGTAGGCAGTAAAAAATGAGAATGCAACCCTCTTTTTTTTTTTTTTTTTTTATATATATACTGTTGTGTGTTGAAATCAGCAGAATTGTTATATCAGAGAAGATAGATTTGAAGGTGTGTGACCAAGAGAGATTTTAACGCTTTTGTTTAAACATTGATTGTTGTATTCTCTGTTATAGTTTGTAGCAATTGATTCAGTGACACTGAGATCTCATATGTAATATGTTGCTCTCTCAACTCTTGTTATGATGAATCAATCATACGTTTCTCTTTTGTGTTTGTAATAACTGAAAAAGTAAACGACTTGTGTGCATCTTCAAACTAAACAAGAGATTATTTTCCGATCAAAAAAGGAAGGATTTTGACTTATAAAGTCAATTGGATCTAACGGCTGAGACTGTCTCTTCTTTATTTCAGATCAAATCCGAAATCGATCTCTTTCTCTTTCTCACTCAAGTTGAGGAGAGGGGCGCCAAAAAAAAAAAACCCTTTTGACAAAGAGGCGAAAAAAAGTTTTTTTCTTTTTTAATTTTATTTATTGGGCGAAATCGATTTGACGAAATCCCGAATTTCAGTTGGGCAATTTCTTCTCTTTCTCAATCTCGGTCTTTCCTCTCGTGATTTGGTGGCCGTAGGAGCAAAAACGCGCAAGGATTTAGCCATGGAGCATCAGAACGCGGTCAAAGAAGCCCTAAACGCACTGTATCATCACCCGGATGATACAGTGCGTGTGCAAGCTGATCGCTGGCTCCAGAACTTCCAGGGAACTCTCGATGCTTGGCAGGCGAGTTTTGCTTTCCCTATTTTGTTTTAATGTTTGATTTTCTGAGTTGGGTATCATCTCATTTAACCTGGCTTTGTGTTTGGATTCGATTCTACTTCGTTGTTTTGCTAAGAGTTCTAGTTATCCGATTTTTAGTTACTTTTGACTATTTAGGTGCACAAAGTTTCATCCTTTTCTCTACAATTTTGTATTCTCGATTCGCTCGTTTTGCCGTCCTATGCATAGCAGGAAGCTCGAATTCCATTATTAGTGCTGGCTTTGAGTATGATGAATACACTTCAATTCAGTGCTTGCATTCTTCTGCAGCTGGCTTGAAGAAGTATGTTTAGGGTGTATGAACAGATCTATCTTCTTAGAGAAACGAAATGTTAGGTTTTTAGCAGTTTTTTCTAATAGCCTTTTAGACCCATGATTGTTGATTCCGGGAAGAGGTTGTTTTGGTGGAACAGTCTTTCAGTGTTTTTTACTCTGTACTGTTGTGTGTATTCCAGGTTGCGGATAATTTACTTCATGATTCTTCCAGCAATTTGGAAACTTTGATATTTTGTTCTCAGACTCTTAGAAGCAAGGTAACACAATTTTACTTCTCTCCAAGTGGTCAATATTGATTTAGCAGTCTTGGAGACTGCACTCTGTTGACATTTGGTCTGTCTTACTCCAAGGTACAACGAGATTTTGAAGAACTACCACCTGGGGCTTTTCAGAAGCTACGGGAATCATTAACGGTAAATCTTTGTTCTATGAAAGTAACTTTACACGAGCTTTAGGGTTTTTGAGTATTCTTGTATGTTTGTTATTAAAATCAATAAAACTCGGACTGGTGTTTTGCCAATATGTATTCCGGCATCTAGGTTTTACCATGATTTCATAGTTTCAAGCCTATAATTGGGGGCAATATGCATTCTTGGCATAATTTGACTGTCTCTATTTTCTCAAGTGCAGACATTGTTAAAAAAGTTTCACAAAGGCCCCCCGAAAGTTAGGACGCAGGTATGCTTCGTAAATCTTTCTATCTTATGCGCATGTGTTGTGTGTTATTTCTTGTACTTTGAGCTGAATTATCTTATTCAAGTATTTTGTATTGTAGATTAGTATTGCTGTTGCTGCCTTGGCGGTGCACGTTCCTGCGGCAGATTGGGGAGATGGTGGTATTGTTAGCTGGCTTAGGGATGAGATGAATATGCATCCTGAGTATGTGCCTGGTTTCTTGGAACTCTTGACTGTTTTGCCCGAGGTAGAGTATTTTTCACTCCTATGTTTGACTATTCATCTCTCTCAGTGAATAGGTAATGGAAGGTCTTGTTTTGGTTTGACTTGAACCTGCTTACATGTTAGCTATGTTGGTCTCGTTGACCTCAAATTGAGTAGAACTAAGCTTAAGGTTGATGATGTCTTTGGTGAATATTCTGTATCTTTTCACTGTTAGTGCGTCTATGTCTAAAAGGAAGATTTTATAATGTTTTCCCAATTTTCCGTCATTTCTTTTCGACCTTTCCCTTTGATTAATTTGATCCCCTGTAGGTAATATTATAATTGTGCTGCGACTGCTAACATTAAACTGTCTGTTATCTTTAATCTAGATGGTTATATGATGTCTTGCTTTTTATTGTCCTTGCTACGAGCAGGAAACATTTAACTACAAAATAGCTGCTCGTCCGGATCGACGACGTCAATTTGAGAAAGAGCTTACTTCTCAAATGGAAGCTGCACTTAGTATATTAACAGCATGTTTAAATATAATTGAACTTAAGGAACAGGTCAGAGCTATTCTTTTATATAGAGTCGTGTCATAGTTCAGTAAATATTTTTTTTTCTGGCATTATTATTAACTAATTTTTCTGGTGTTGCAAGGGGTCACTGATTGTCATTTATTTCTATTTGTAATCTTGAAATTTCAGGTTCTCGAGGCATTTGCTTCTTGGCTCCGTCTGAGGCATGGGTATGCTCTTTCTTTTGCTTTTCCATCTCTAGTTTTTTTTAGAATGAGAGCACTTTTTAGATTCCATATAATATTGTTAGTTCATCAGGATAAAAATAAAACATCCATTAGAATATAAGACTGATGGCATCTGATATAACATGTTTTACTATCTGGGTCACATTGTTTGTCCTATATAGAACCTCTGACACGGAGCTAATTTATTTGATATACAGCTGTTGGTTGCTACTAGCTAGCCTTCACTATTTTTCACCAAATATCCAACTTAGCAACGATGATACTGACTGAAATGTATGTTGGTAAACTTTGGGATGGTCTTTTTCAGGATTCCTGGAGCAGTACTTGCCTCTCATCCATTGGTGCATGCAGCTCTTACAAGTTTGAACGGCGATCCACTCTCTGAGGCATCTGTGAATGGTATACTCGTTGGGAAAGCTATTACAAACATAGGCTTTTAAAGTCTTTGGGATTTTTCATATAAAATTATTTGGATTGATTATTTGTGGATGAGTAGTATTGTGATCTTTTTTTTTTAGTATAATGACTTTATGGTACCTTGTCTCGTAGTTGGAATATGCTAAGTTGGAGATTTGCAAATAGAGCTTCTTTCAATATGTGCTAATCTTTCCTTGTTGAATTTTGAAAATTAGTGTCTTTAACTGAGTTGGAGTGTATACTGTACTGCTTTAAGATGTTTTTTCACCTTCATTACAAGGAGCAAGAGTTTTTAACTCTTTATTAAATAAAACATGCCTTCTATTAGCTCTTTGTTTACAAGTCATTGATCCTTCTCGTATCTTCGATTCATTATTATACTATCTAATATATAAACTTCATTTTCAACTTCGCAGTTATCTCTGAATTGATACATCACACGGCATCACCAAGCTCTGGTGGTATTTCTGCCCAAACACCCTTAATTCAAGTTATTGTGCCTCAAATTCTAAGTCTTAAGGCCCATCTAAGAGATTCTTCAAAGGTACTGCTATGCTTCTGTTTACCTTTTGTTATATCATAGGCAAGTCGATGGCTGGATTTGCTTGATATTAGGATTTGTTATTTCACATATTTCCTGTTCCACTGGTTGCGGCTTGAACGACTATGAATTTGTTACTTGTGGACTCTATTAACCGCAAAAGTTATCCAATGCATAGGAAGCTGATGGCTTACAGTTGTTTTGACTTTAGCGGTAGAAGGCTGGTTTTCTGTTTATATGACTTAGGATATTTGTGTAGAGAAGTTGGCAAGGCTGCTAAAGATACCCCTTATAATCCGTTGTATATTTTTTTTCTTTCGCCTCTTAAAATTATTTCACTTTCAGGATGAAGAAGATGTCAAAGCAATTGGTCGGTTATTCGCTGATGTAGGCGATTCTTATGTTGAACTGATTGCTACTGGTATGTGGCCTCATTTCTACTACTCTCCTCTGTTGTTTTAAGTGTTCCGTTTCATGTCTCTTGATTGACTTTGGTGCTCTAAGTTCTTTAATATGTTTGAAGGTACTCTTTTTTTACTTCAGGTTCAGATGAATCAATGGTTATCGTGCATGCCCTGCTGGAAGTTACTTCACACCCAGAATTTGATATAGCCTCCATGACCTTCAACTTTTGGCACAGTCTTCAACTGACGTTGACAAAGAGGTAACGTCAGGATTGTCTATGTTTGCTGGATGCTCGTAATGTCATATTCTGAGAGTGTGATTTTGATCTATCAGGGATTCTTATATTTCCTTGGGTAGTGAAGCATCCATTGACGCTGAAAGAAACCGAAGACAGCATATCTTCCGGCCAGCCTATGAGAGCCTTGTATCTTTGGTGAGTGTGTCATCAGATACTCCTCAAGTTCATTTTTGTCAGTCATTCTTAAGTTTTACTCTTTAAAGAGTATTTGATGCCTTTATTGGTTTGCTCTAACCTTGTGCTGATTTCTGATGCATAGATGACTTAAGTGTTTATTAATGTTTTTCTGTAAAATGCTAGTTACTGAAATTGCATCTGATTGTCATCTTTTGGTAGAAAACAGCAAACTATATGGGTTATTGTATGCTCTGCAGTTTTATGTCGCTTCTGGTGGGATTAAACATATAATAAACTGCTCTTCTTCACAGGTTGGCTTCAGAGTTCAGTATCCTGAAGATTATCAAGGCCTCTCGTATGAGGACCTTAAGGAGTTCAAGCAGACTAGATATGGTAATCATAGCCAAATATTGCTTGTTTTCAACATTACACAGATCATAATCTCTAGATATAAAGGGGGCTTCAGCACTGCCTTTGATTTATTTGATTGCTTATAGTATTTTTTCTCCCTTGCTTCCATTCTTTCCACTTGCTTCCTGAAGCAGGTAGAATATAGTTTTTCCGAGGTTATTTGGTTGTTTTAGTCTCTCCGTTTTCACAGGATGTTGTACCTCTCAATGTCTGTTCTACATCTATTGATGTGTGCTATGCTCAATGATCTCTGACGGGCCAGCTTACCTCCTTTTCTTATTTTATTTAGTTGAACCGTTGCTTTATACTGATGGAATGTTTTGTATTGCCAGCTGTTGCAGACGTATTAATTGATGCTGCATTGATCCTGGGGGGTGATACAACTCTGAAGATTCTCTATATGAAGCTTCTTGAGGTTTGTGTTGTAGATGAACAAGCGAGCCTTTTGCTCTTTTCCATCATTAAATAAAGAGTGTGCATTGGAGGATATTATATACAGAGATACAATTGGAAATACAGTAACACGATTTAGATTTACAGCACCATAAACTTAAATTATGTACATCATTTGGACTTTTAATATCTTTGACGTTTGTGAAATATGTACTCAGGCCAATGCTCAGACAGGAAATGATTTCCAAGAATGGCGTCCAGCAGAAGCTATCTTGTTCTGTATTTGGGCGATATCAAATTACGTTTCAGTTGTTGAAGTTGAAGTGATGCCCCAGGTATGTATTATTAATAGTTCCTCATCGTGCATGTTCATATATCATGTGAATATGGGTTTCCCATTTAGCTTTTATGCTACAATAGGCTTGTAGGCTTTTTGCCCCACAAAGTCTGTGTGTTTTAAGTTATGACTCTATTAGTGTGCTGCATCCATGGAAATTTCATTCTTTCATACATTCCACTTTCAGGTGATGGCCTTGCTTCAAAATCTTCCCCAGCAAGCGCAACTGCTTCAGACAGGTGAATAATGCTTAGTTTCTTTTTTTGAATAGTTTGTCTGAAGCCAGTTCTTTTAATGACGAGAGATCTATTTCCCTACTCGATTTCAGCATGCTTACTTGTTGGGGCTTATTCAAAATGGCTTAATGCTGCGCCAGCTAGTGTTTCAATATTGCCGTCGATCATTAGAATTCTTATGACTGGAATGGGCACATCTGAAGATTGTGCAGCAGCTGCAGCTTTGGCTTTTAGACATATTTGTGACGGTATTGTATTCACTCTTGCAAATTAACAAGCCTTCCTTCTCTTTTCTCTTCTTAGCATAACATTGACCTTATGACGAGTATACTTCGAAGCTGGCTCTCTAATTTCTTTGTTGTTTCCTGACCATGACAAAATTTTGGGTTTTAGCATTGATATTTTGGTTTAAACCAACTTTCTAATGGTGATATAGGATTAAATCAGCTCTCCTGTTATAAATACCGTTCTTCCAGGGCTGCTTATCTTCTTCTTTTCTCCTGGCAATATAACTCCTAAGTAGTTTCATAATTGACTTGCAAACTAAATTCTGCCTGTTAGTTTTCTCTTAGGAAGTTTGAAGTTCTGTAAATATTCAATTGCATACTGACCTGCTTCAAAGATGGCAGCTAGTCGAAAGGTCTGACTGGAACCTACGCTAACGGATCTGACTTCGACTCTACTGAATTGCTAGCATATAGGGTACATTGCAATACTGGCAAGTATTTGGAATTTTTTTGTACGCCTTCCTTGAACTGATTTCTGTTTTCCAGTATTGTTTTACGTTAATTGCCATCAACAAATTACTTCTTATGATATATGGTGTGAAACCATACTGAAAAATTGTAAAACTTGTAGCTATCTAACAACTAATGTTCTTCAAAAGTGGATTGCTTGTTGTGTTGAAACTGATATGCATATTATCTTTTTTTTTTTTGTAAATATCTGATGTTTGTATAAACAACTTATAATTGCTGCAGATTGCCGAAAAAATCTATGCGGGTATTTTGAAGACTTGTTTACAATCTATTGTATGGCAATTGATGGCGGCGGTGGTTATAAAGTATCTGCTGAGGATTCGCTAAATCTCGTTGAGGCTTTAGGGTATGGAATCAACTGAATGATGGATTATATCTCCTCATTCGTGTGTTATTAACATCTCTAAGATTTTATTATGCAGAATGGTTGTTACAGAACTTCCTTTAGATCAGGCCAAGAGCGCTCTTGAGAAATTATGCTTTTCAGCCGCCTCTCCTCTACAGGTTCCCCATCTTCACTTTTTTTTGCATGGTTGTTTGATATATTGTCTGACTTATAATGATGGGAATTGCAAATCTGTGAATCAGGAAGCGGCGAAAGAAGATTTGGACAAGAAGCATGCCCGTGAATTAACGGTTCATATTGACCGGTTTGCCTACCTCTTCAGGTTTGTATAATATCTCAATAACGCAATATGTCTCCATACGTTTTGTTTAGTCTTACTAACAGATGCTACCACCGTAGGTATGTGAACCACCCTGAAGCTGTGGCTGCTGAGATTAATAAGCATTGGGCTATTTTCAGTTTTATTTTTGATGCGTAAGTGTTTCTGGACACATGATGATTAACATATGTTCTCAAAATTGCTTATTATGTAGCCTCTTAGGCTCTTACTTTAAAATTGTTTAACTGCAGTCGTCCTTGGGACATGAGGACTATGGAATCTCTATGCAGAGCATGCAAATATGCTGTGAGATTTTCACCATCGTTTTTGAAGTTTTTATTTTACCTGGCTCGTTTCTGTTTCTCTGTTTGCTAGACATTCCATGTCGGTGAACATAAGAGGTGGATGACAATTTTGATAGAGGATACTTCGCTAAGAGAAATGGTTGGAGTTATGTTTGTAGGTACGTACTTCTGGGAGATACATAATTAATACAATCGGAGAAATGCTGGCTAAAATTCAGTTCCACTATCAGCAGCATCATCAGCCATGCTTCCTTTATCTCTCCAGTGAAGTTATAAAGGTAATCCGTATTCCTTTCAATCAATGGAATGCTTAGAGAAAAGCTTTAGAGAATCTAATCTTTGTGGGATTTGCAGATTTTTGGTTCAGACCCATCCTGTGCTGACTACTTGAAGAATCTGATTGAAACACTCTTTGCACATACAACATGTCTTATGACAAGTATTAAGGTTGATGATTTCACTGAGTTGTATATATTCTCACCCAGTTCTCGTTTCCTCTGTGGTGTCTGATTCTCTTTGTATACTTATAGGAAGTCACTGCTAGACCAGACATTGCTGATGATTGCTTCTTGTTGGCTTCGAGATGCCTTCGCTACTGTCCACATTTGTTTATTCCTTCTCCTATATTTTCACCACTTGTAGATTGCGCAATGATTGGAATCACAGTGCAGCACAGGTTTGACTATCTATATTGTTCATCGTAAGTTGTTTTTTCCTTGAGGGTTTTGACATTAATGTTAATTAAATGTTTTGAACACATTTTTCCAGAGAGGCCTGCCACTCGATATTGACCTTTTTATCCGACATTTTTGACCTGGAGAAGTCTGTGAATGAAGAACAGTTTGTACGAATCAGGGACAATGTCATTATTCCCCGGGGAGCTACAATCACCAGAATCTTGATTTCATCATTAGCAGGAGCACTTCCCAGCTCTCGGCTAGACACGGTAAATTCAGGAGACCTATCTTATCTTATGGGTTACAGGAATCTATCTTTTGGTGCATCAAGAGCGTTGTTTATGGCCTTTTGAAAAAACGTATCTTTTGTTTTTGTTTGTGGGTTTTGGTTAGGTAACATACGCGTTGCTAGCTCTGACCAGAACATACGGGTTACGAGCAGTGGGTTGGGCTGAGGAAAGTTTTAGCCTGATACCTCGAACAGCTGTGACAGAGACCGAGTCTTCCAAGTTCCTACGAGCGTTAAACGATGTTGCTTATGGAGCAGATGTGAATTCTCTGATAGGACACGCTGAGGAACTTTCAGATGTTTGTCGCCGTAACCGTACTGTTCAAGAACTTGTTCAGGCAGCTTTGAAGCCTCTGGAGTTGAATCTGGTTGCTCCTGTATCATAGGGATGATGAAAAACAAACAAAGAAAGAAAAAGAAGAGTGACGACGAGCCATATAAAAGAAGGTCAATTTTTGCATAGACCCCTTTTGATGGTTTTTTTCAAAAGGTGAGAGAGATTTGATGTTTTGTGCATTTTTTTTACTGTCGTAGCTGTTGATAAAAGATCTTTTATTTTTATTTTATTTCTTTCTGGTATGAGCCGTTGTTCCATTGTTTGGCCGGTTTATTTCCAGTGCGAAGAACCAAACTTCTTTCTATTTTTTAATCAAACCGGGTGAGAAAAACAGAAGGGGTCCTTTCCCCTTCAAGGATTTGGTATGATTTTTGAGTGGGGATCATATACAAAAGCATCGATTTCTTTTTCTTGTTTAACTTGCAGAGTATCATCTTCAAAAACCTAAGTTTTTTTTCTTTTCTGTTTATGATAAAATCAAATCGTAAGTGATCCAAACTTTGTTACAAAAATGATACATAATTAATAAAAGGAGAAGCAACATAATCGTATGTATGTTGTTTCTATCACACTTAAAAGATATCTTTATTTGGTTTCTACGATCAATTAGTTGAAGCTTAAATGACAGAATTTTTTTTTTGTCAAAACTTCAGTAAATCTCTCAAAGGATTCGAAGGTTTCAGAATGTGGAAGAAATGAAGTGCTCAATTATTTAATTGCCCATACTCTCAAAATATGGACGATGGGAATCATTGATAAGTAGAGTTTCTTTTTACTTTTGAGACCTACTAATAAACTATTTGGTTGCCCATGAAGTCACATTATGACACAATAACCAATAGGCAATAGAAATAGCAACAGTGTAAGCAATACTTAATTCAACGAAAGATGTAATAAATCCATTTTCCTTTTCAAAGTGGAGAACGAAAAACAGTTGCCAACAACTTCATTTATTCAATCCGTGAATTTATAGAAGTTAGGCCGCTAATTTTTAAGAATTCTTTATGTTTACTACTACTGTTTTATATTTTGAACTCACAAAAGAAAATGAAGAACACTTCCATTGCTACATGAAAACTGAAATTCATTTACCCCATAACGCAAGCTCTGACAAGAAAAGGCAAACATATCTTTGATCTCAATCTAATTTTTTAAAGGATTTTAGTAGAACATATTTTCAAGGAAAAAGAAATACTGAAATGGTTGAGAACGTAGGGTAGTAATATTATATTATAACTTAGTAGTAATCAGTATGAATCACCACAATCACACACTGTGGTTGTATGTCTCACAATCTTTGTAAGTTTTCTTCTCTTCTTCCCTCAATTATGAGGCATACCTGCAAAAACAAATCAAAGAAGTACTTGAGTACTATGTTATTGTCTAAACATAACAAGTGCTTCATAGTTCCTACAGCAAAGAACATTGACTCGAGTCAATATAAGACAATATATTTACCTGCAGATCCATGATCTGATCGTATTTCAGCTAATGGGTTGACTATAAATCCCGCAGCACCATTAAACCGCTGCCTCGAGTCCTGTATCCCGATGGTTTGTGCATTTCTGTTCCTGTAACTAGACAGCCTCGATGCTGAATACTTGGAATCAGGTTTCTTCCAGAATTTGGATCTAATGAAACCTCCAGATGGAAGGAGACAACAGTTGTTTCTGCTTGAACCGTTGTTACTCATCCTCCCATTAGAAACTGCCAAGTCATAAGATATCTCATCTAGCGCAAGTTCCAAGCCTTGAACTCGCGTTTCCAGACCACGCATTCCATCTTGCGAGCTTCCAACAAATCTCTGTTGAACAAAAACATCAGAAATGAGCCTCAGGAAATGAAATAAAAAAGGGAATCCGAATGTATGTGTGATCATGTTTAAAAACAAACCTGAAGGAGATCCATCAGGTTCGATTGCTGTTGTTCAATCTGAACAAGCTGATTACGTATCAGAGATATGTCTTCAAGCCCTTTGCAGTTACTACTATTCTGGTTTTCAGACAAGACATGGTGATGATGTCCTGTTGCGGTAGTAGCACCTGATGACGGGAGGATATTGCCATGCACCGTATCGTGATTAGAATGACTCGCTTCCTTTGTGTTTTCGTTATGGGAGTGATGTTCCTCTTCCAGAGGCTCACAAGTGGGAATACTACTAGCTCCTCCAGCTTTCCAGTCCAATCTTCTCCTTACGTTTGATCTGGCATGTGATGGTACTGAGCTTGTTTTCTTCCCATCACTGCTTTTTATGTCAGTCCGTCTCCTAGCCGTGGCGGCGATTGAGCTCCCCGGTGGAGTCGATCTATTAAGCAGATGAGTTCTTGATCTAGAGCGTGAAGGGTATCGTCCATCACTTGCATCATCTGCTCCCATACCTAATAAATCAATGTAAGCATCCATTGATCTTCAGCAACGAATCCGTACAACTACGAAAGACACACCAAGATAGTATGTACCAAACAAGAAAAAGTTTCCTAATTTGGCTAAAGATCTAAATGGTGGAGGAAAAAGATTGCCTTTAGAAGAAGCATTAGATCTGGGTGGAGAAACCTCCTCTGATAAATCTGGGACTTGTTTCCATGCCTCCATCATCTGATTCATCACCTCCCTCACAGCTTTCACCTAAACGATTCAAGAAACATGAAATCTATGATCCTGAACCTTTACACTGAGATGGAAAATTCAAGTTGACGAAAGCCAAACCTTGTCGTATTTCCTGTTTTCGAAAATCTTGAGGGATTTGGTTTTAAACTCGCCTAAGTCATTTCTCTCCACCGTGGCTAGCTTCCCCAAGGCTTCGGCGGCTGCTTTCCTCGCCGCCCAGTCTTCACTACCCAAGAAGCTAACCAAGCAATCCACCAGCCCTTTCAATCCGCCGGAGCTCACACCGCCAGCGCCAATCACGCTTCCGATCACAACGACTCCCGCCGATTTCGCCTTAAACGCGTTGCACTTCACCAGCTTCTCCAGTCTAGGCAGAAGTGCCTGCCCTAATCGAGTCGGATCCGGATCCTCCGCCGCATCGATCGCCGCCGCGAGACACAGCGCCGCTCCGATCTGAGCATTAACCTCCTGCTCTGTGAAAAGCGTGTCGGCCAGCGGCTTCATGAATGCGGAAGCGAAAGGAGGCTTCGCCGTGCGGGAGGAGATCGCCGACACAGCCGCGACGCAGGTTGAGCGGATGGAAGAGTCCGGATCACGGAGGCGCCGCGTGATGCGAGCGAGGATCTTTGAGAGAAAAGGAGACAGGGAGTTTGGAGGAAGAGAGACGGATAAGACGGCGAGCAAGTGAATACAATGCTTACGAACCGCCGGTTTATCGCCGGTGTCGGCGGAGAGTATAACGGAAATAAACGACTGGAGGTTCCCGGAGGAAGGATCAATCTGTCTAGCCATCAAATCGAGCTCCCGAGCCGCCATTGTGAAAGTATCTCGATCGCCGAGCTTCGTTAACAACACCGACATCTTTTGCTTCGAGTTCTTCGCCATTTTCCTACCTCCGGCGACGGTTGGGGATCAGTGATGCGGCGGAGACGGTGGCGGATCTGGTGGAATAAGAGGCGGCAGTGGCATTAGCGTAAAATAGGAGTTAATTAATCAGACGGTGGTAGAAGCTTTCACTGGGTGACCAGTGGTTTTACCGTTTGTGTTGCGTGTCTCTGTGTGATCTTTATACCGTTTTTTGGGAGGTGGGAGAATAGAGATGATGATGACCTGAAACGATGCCGTTTCTTCAGGTGTCTCTTTATATATAATCACGCCAGGGAACACCATGATGTGTGTGTCTAAGAATGATCGCCTTGTTTTCCTAAATTACTCCTTTTTAAAGACACTGTTTTTTTTTTGTTTTTTTTCACCCCCTCCCCCAAAATTTTTTTACGGAGATACAATAGTAATTAAACATACTTTTTTGGGCGAAATCAGACTCATAGTAATTCCTTAAAATGTAAATTGTGATGGTTCCAAAGTGTTTGACGAATTGTTATTGTAAATTGTGATAGATAGTGCATTTACTGCTAGAGTTATTGTCTGATCAGTTAACTTTTACTGAAGGTGTAGTGTTAAGATCAACTTGTTTATGCATACGTAATTATTAAAAACCAACCTTATGGTTAACCACAATAGATGTGAGGGTTTCATTTACGAAATCGCATACCGATTGAAATAAAAAATTTGATAGAATATCGACAACATATCTAATTATGAGTACAAATGTAGATAACATAGAACATTCGGCTTGTAGCTTTCAAACATCTATATATGTGCAAATCAAGCAAAAGTAACTTAATTTGATGGGCTTCTTTGGTATACGTACCCCAAGGTGGTTCAACTAATATTCTAACATTTATTAATACATATTTGGTGAACCGATGTTATCAACTGGGAGCATGAAAGCTCTTTCTGCTTGTTTTTATTAGTGTGGCTGTTAATTTAATTTTGCGTGATCTGTGAAAACGTGCGGTTGATGTTGTTCTTCTCGAGTCAAATCTAGATTCCCGTTTGAGATCCCCGTTTAAACCGAAATGATGGACCCGTAGATGTTTTTTAACTAGGCCCAGAGAAAAGCCCAATACAGAGTTCGTCTGCAACGGACCGGTCTACACATATATTCGACCCTTCTGAGATATATTTATGTAGATGCAAGTTATAAAGTATGATCATTAACACAGATATGTTTATATGTAGATTCATAAGGGGAAAATATGAAACAAAGTACCAAAAAAAAAAAAATGAAAATGTGATAGGAAATTCTTTTTTTTTCTGAAACATGAACTACAACACATAACGGCAAAAAAACAGAAAAAGCCTGTGTTTTGTTTCCCTCGAAAATGTCTTTTTCTTTTTGTCTACTTTATTAGATGCCTTGAGCACTGAGTAAACAAACATTATTGACAGATTGTTAGAAAAAAAAAAAAAAAGAATGTATTAAAAGAAGAAAAAAGCATACAACAAAGACAAGACTCATGAGCTTTTTCCTGCAGCCTTAGCTTCTTTTTTCATCACAGCTTTGACATAGATTTCATAGCAACATCCTGAAAAACAAAGCAAAGACACGACACAATCCGGATTTCGAGTTAAGCGACATATGTATGTAACAAGTATCTCGTTGTCGTAATTCCATACTCATAGGAGCTTCATGTTGCTAACGTAACATAACAAAAGATGGACAAGTGACAGACATCTCAAGAGCAACTATTACAGAGCAGCTTTCTTTTCATAGCAATTGAGGGAATATTTCAGATGATTAAAGTGACATATTCAAGAACATCTTTTACAGAGTTCTCAATGATGTTGTGAGGATGGTTTTAAACATTTTCCATTCACATCTAGAAAATATATGTCTACGAAGCATATAATACTCAATCGTGAGAAGGTGAAATAACAAAATGTGCCCAGTGAATCCCTCACTCTAGATTCATCCTAAACTGTACCAGATTATGTTTCTATCTCCACAAAACTTGACCATCTTTAAATAAAAAAGCAATGAGCTATGTCTTGTTTACCTGCAACAACGACGACTGTGAGGACATCTCCAATCTTTTTCAATCTGTGCACACCTCTCTTATGAGACTTGAATCTCTTCAAAGCAGCATCTTCAGCCAATAGCTACACGAGATTTCAATTTAAAATTAGACAAACTCATCAATTATAATACAAGAAATTGTCATGGAAACAGTATAAGCACAACACACATCTCAAACTCTCGAATAGTATTATTCTTCTCTCTAATCGAACTCAGACTATCACAAGAAACATCAACTTAGTCATACAGGAACCCTATCTGCAATTCTCAGTTGAGTTACAAAATCCCACAAACGGTAGATCTAAGCCAAGTTCAGATTCCAAATGTTCATAAAGAGCCTCCAAATATACACTAATTCGATTCAAACAAGCGAAAGAGCAACATGAAAATGTAAGAGAAAAACCTAAATAACGATGAGAAGAGAGAAATTACAGCTTTCTCCCGAGTTCCTGGCTCGATGTGGAGTCCACGACGAGATAGTGATAAGGCATCACTCGTCTTCTGCAAAATTTCAGAGGGAAACTGTAACTCGCATCAAACGAAAATCCTCCATTCACAAGATTATTCGATCCAAACCTGTGAAGAAGAACGGAAATGAGACGAGATCGAAACGCTGTTGAACAAAAACGCCATGCCCAGTCAGTCGACGCAGATGACGACGCACAGAGGAATCAGAGAAACTTTAGAAATGTGGAAGAAGAATTTCAGGTTTAGCTATATACTCTAGAGTTATTCCATTTAGATCCCAAAACTATTTTATGTGTACTCATCACCCTAACAAAGACTATTTTGAACTGTAAGACAGCGTTTAACATAAACTGGCAAACCAAGAAGAAGAAAAATACATTCCAAGAAACAAGAAACCAGTCCAAAACTGGATTTGTATCTACGTCTACAGTACTTGAATAAATCTCATCACAAAAATTATAAAAGACTGTTTTTTGAAGCCTCCAACAAAAATGAAGCTTTCCTAACATATTAATATTCACATCTTCAACACAAAGATGGAAAAGAGCAAACGAAGATGGTAAAAAAAAAAAGTAATCTTTTGAACGCCTCTGGATTGATCAGAAACCCGAGATTCACGAGCTTTCTGTATATACACCAATCTTGTCCAGGGCGAGTCGCTTTTTCTTCTTCTTCTTCTTCTTCTTTTTTGGGTACTAACTCACTTCAGATTTTTTCCTAACTGAAACATTCTTGAAAACAGAGAGCCATTTCGAGACACTGAAGAGCTTTGTCCACCTTCTTCTGTGAGCCTTAACGATCGCTACATCCTTCTGTGACATGAAACCTTCAAGCGCACTCTGCAAATCTGATTGCGGCTCCTCTAATCCTATAATCTGAGAGCAATTCCAGAGACTGAAGTCTTCGTATAAACCTTGTGGAGTAACCTCCATGTCAACGTCGTCACTGTACTGTCCACTACCTTCTGCTGTGTTGCTGTGAAGATTTGGCACAAAACCATAACCGTCCAAGCTGGTCAAACTCAGACCGGAGTAATCGATCCCAACGCTGCTTTGAGAAGATGGGACATTGAGAAAGCTCCTCATCATGGTGGACTCATCATCATACGAGATTACTTCTTCCGGGTGACTCAATGCAGCAATTATCATCTCCTCCGCTTGAGCCTGAATCAGAAAATCAAACTTCATGAAGACATAAACAACATATAGAATGTGTTAAGCGAGAGAGAGATAGAGAGGGGATAAGTGCCTTTTCAATCTCAGATAACTTTTCAGCCTGGACGTAATGAAAGTCCACGAGCAGTCCAAGCACTTGAGCTACGACATTGAAGACCACTGCGGTTTTCTTCTGAAATCCAAGAGGCTGGTACACATGGACGCTATTATCCAGAACACATGATCGAGCATGGTCCAACGTAATTTCCCACATCTTTGAAGACATACCCGTACCAAGAATCTGCATAAACATGAATCATTGTCAAGAGAAGCTTAAACTATCAGGAGATGCTGGATCACAAACCATTACTGACCAAACAATAGATTCAATCACACGAAAGTTCCAATGAATGTTTTCATCAGGAGAGACACTTTAGGTGAATAGGAAGATGAATCTTACTTTCCGGAGTTTTGAAGAGTTTAAATGGAAATGTGTTAGGAAATCCTTGACAGTGTTAATATTTGACCAATTCAGCCGTTTGTGAAATGCTCCATCTTTCCCTATCTTTTCCAATCTCCACACTTCATCGAATAGAGAAGGAGGATGATGCTTTCTGTACACTACAAGAAAAGAAAGAACGAGAGTGAGAGAGAGAGAGAGAGAGAGAGGCAGAAGAAAGAAACCAATTCTTTTAGGTTATTCAAACAAATCCATCAACTAAAACACAGAGAGAAGATTCTCCAAATTTTGTTCAATGGTACACAATGTGAGAGGATAAACTAACAAGCAATACTTACATTCTCCACGGTGATCCCTCACGACAAAGGACTCTGTTACTGCCTCTCGAACTTTGACAAAATCAAATTGATCCACCATTCGTACACCGAGCCTGAACTTCCTGCTCCTAGTCCAGCTAGAGTTGTCCGTAAAGCAAATTTCATCCATAACACCGACGCCTTCATTAAGAACCGCAAACACATTCCCACTGAGTAGAGGCTTCTTTCCTTCTCTCTCTCTTACAATGTTAGTCCTGACATCCTCAGCTGTCCAACCGCTATAACTGTCAAAATCACCCTCGACCACAAAAACTTCGATTTTCGCAGATGATGCGGGCCCCGAGGAGACAATCTGACCAGTCGAAGGATCGACTAATCCTACTCTTATAGCTTGGCCTTCATCTCCTTCGATTCGAGCTGAAGTAAACACAGGAAGCGAGAGATTGTTCAAGAACCTCAACTGTAGGTTCCTTGATTCCAGAGGATGAATCTCTTTCTCACATATCCTGAACAAATATGAACATGGGAAGAAAGTATTGTTAATAAAACTATACAGCCTGAAAAAAAATCTAATGTTGATTTTGAAAAGCAGTCAGTTTTACCACTTGATTCCTGCTAGATGCTTTCCAAGAGCCAATTCAACTTCTTCTTTTACCTGTTCCAATGGATATTCATGAATATAAAGCCAACAATAAATCCTAGGAGAAAGAGGTAATATATTCTTTTAACATGAGACGTACCACTTTACGAATCAAGGGCTCGAGAACGGGTTCGAGAAAATGTTTGACAGTTTGCAATCTCATTACCTCCTGCACCACACTAAATTTTGGATCCAAAAAACATAAGTGAGAAATTCACATTATCTGGCTCACACTAAATAATCAATTTAGAAAATCCAAAACTTTATAAACATTAGTGCTTTATCCACCGGGAAAAATCAAAGCTTTTGTGTTCCAATCCAACTTTATCTTACCAGAACTAGTATCACTCTTTGTTTAGACAAAACCAAACCTACTTATAAAGGAACATAATGATCAACTAGTCTCCTCCAAAATCATCACAGAAACAATCCAACTAAAGACCCCTAACAAGCTGTAAAAGTTCGTGCGTCTCACATCCTATCAAAGATGCTAAGTTTTGTGTTAAAAGAAATCATTACACCGCTACTTGTTCTCTTGTTTCAATCTGTTCTTGTTCTGAATAGCGATGGGATATAAAGATCACAGCTTTTAGACTCTGACTCATACACAAGCTGTGATCTTAAATCATCCATATCCAATCGATTGAATATAAGACAGATGGTTTCTGATTCGAGCCTATAACATCAGATTAAACCCTCAAAACAAATTATACCTTTTGAATCTTCTACGCTTATCCTCCGGTGACCCACCTCCCACACGAGCTTTCCCTTCTTCAAACTCCCTCTTCTGCGACATCTCTCAGATACCCACGAAGACGCAGCAACCGAATTCAACAAGAGCCGTCGAAATTCACAGGGGATTTCAACCATTTACAGAATATTGTGTGTGTGTGTGTGTATCTTGTGTCAGAGCCAAAATTTCCGGGAAGATATAAATCCAAAAGAGTAACGGAATTATCGTAAATCTAATCTCTTGAAACAAGACCCGTATCTTGGAATTATCTATCTACCTCTCATCCCCATCCAAGCTTTGCACTGTTTCAAATCTGTCGTCGCACGAGTCGAAAGCTTTGAGAAAAAACAAAGATGGATTACGCAAATTCGTTGGGTAAGCAGATAGAGACAGAGCCAAGAATTGGTGTTGTGAAGTTTTCTCAGTGTGTTGTGTTGTGGTGTGGGGTCTACTGAAACCGCGTCAGTGACGAGGAGCCCCCAATTTAATTTTTCTTCCTGATGATTATTTATTATTTAACGTGTGCTTAAAAAAATAATATAAAAGTTTTTGACCTTTTATATGAAACTGGTCAATCAAATTTTGGATTTCAACAAAACCTAAGGAATTAAAGAATGGCTGGTCACCAAGTAATCATCAAGCATGCAGAAAACTGCAATCCTCCATGTTCGAGATTCCATAATTCATCCTTGCTCTTATTGTCACATGTATATGATGAGTCGATTAGCCTATATGTCACAAAAGAACCGTATGGATAACATTAACTTATGCCCCAGCCATAAGGTCTTGTCCTATGATTGTGTCTTTCCAAGTGGAACAAACAAAAAAAAAAAACATGTTAATGTTTGATCTGAAAATTATTCTATGCCAACTAGCAGATGTGAAATGTTCTTCAGTTTCTAATCAATTGTCAAAAAACGCAGAGAGAACATTGTTTTTAGGTTCATCTGTCGATAGATTGTGCTGAAAGCATCGATAATATTGGTATGATTTGTTGGTTCGCCAAGATTATTCACCTTTTTTTTAATACCTAAACCCTTCCTCTAGACCAATCGTACACATCATAAATGAGCAACACAAAGATGTGGACGTCCCATTCTCAGTACGAACCAAAATCATAAACATAAACGCGTGATTTTAAGAACGTAAAAGCTAAAAAGAAAATGAGTTTGTCTAAGTCTAAGTTATATGATGATTAAAACATGCAGTCTTGGGATAAACACAAACCTTGCTTCGATAAAAACATATTTAGAAAGTACTTAGTTGAGTTTACAAACACCTAGATCACCTAATTCAAACACAAACTTTAATGACCTCTTTCTAGCAAAAAAAACGAAAACCTTAATGATCTTTATACAACCGCTATACTGTGCACTTGCGAAGTATATTTGAGATTGAGATCGTTGAATCAAGAGTTTAAGCTTTTGTCAAATTGAAATATTTTGGCAATTTATTTAATCGAAACCCATAATCATATCAGTACTATCCAATTAAAAAGTCTTTCAAGAATTTATAGCCCACGAGAACATTTCTTGGGCTGGGCAAGGAATAATGATGTGGTCACTTGAGTGAGACCGAGGATCATTCAAATCTGACTTAATTATTCTACATATTTTTCTAAAAAGTATATATTTTCAGGAAACATAAAAAATTAAACTTTAGTAGTAAAACTGGATTAAAATAAAACTGATTACTACTAGATCTCATGGTATCACACGGAATGTTTGTAGAATAATTGAGAGTTGTTGCCATCTGACATCTTCACACGAACTGTCTGACTTTGACCAAAAGCTAAAACTCCCACTTGAGATACTTAAAGCTTCTATTGCTTAATTTCTCCATCACACACACGTTTATTGCCTCTAAAGTTTGATTGTGTCCTCTCTCTCATCCACACACTCACCTCTTTATTTTGCAAATTCCTTAATAACTTACAAGAAATATGTCAATTTGACTAATAAACACACATAACATATTGCAAAATAAGATAAAATTAACCAACAAGAGGCAAAGAAATGAGGAGATTATAAAAAAAAAAAAAAAAAAAAAAAAAAAAAACTTCAAAGTTATTAGACAATCTCTTTACAAACAAATGGACATTTCATTTTTGCCATTTAATCATAAAAGCAATAATCACATATTACAAGTCACTCAAAATTAATAATTTACACCCACTGCTTATATCAATCAAACAAAGCAAAATAAAAAAAATATATTTTACCAACAAAAAAGGTAAAGAAAAAGAGAAGGTAATTTTTTTTAAAAAGAAGAAGCTAGAATTGGGAGGAATAAGCGAAACCCGCATTTTGGCCTCCTTGAAACTGAGTCCGACTAAGCCCAGTCGCTTCAAGCATACGGTTCCACTCACGCGCCTCCGCATTTTCCCCAAACTCACTCTCTCCTCCGCCTCCTCCACTCATCGCCTGCAGAATCTTCGCCGCTTTCTCCTTCACCCTCCCATTCCCGCTCTCTTCCACTTCTTTCAACACTTCCTCAGCTCCCGCCTCGCTCGCCAATCCCCTAAACCTCAGATTCCCTTGACAAAGCGTCAACAGAACGGCTACGCAATTCTCACGCGCCGCCTCGGAATCATCTCCGTCTTCTCTAAGCTTCCCTACCAAAATCGCCACCGCGTTTCCGTCAAGCATCGCGCCTTTCCCGTCTGGACAAGCCGCGAGATTGCAGAGTACTAAGAGTATCCGGCTAGTCGATTCACCGGATCTGACCATTGAAAGCAGAGTCGGCACCGCACCTGCTCGAACCAGCCTGGTTCGGTTACTTGGGATCAACGATAAATGGTAGAGCGCAAGCGCTGCGTCTTGCCTCGCTCTTTCGCTCTCTGACGAACGGAGAGCATGGAGGAGCGGCTCCACCGCACCGAGAACTCCGATAACCATTTTGTTCTCGTCTTCCAGCGCCAAGCTGAACAAAGCGCCGGCGACGTGTTCCTGCGCCTCCGTCGTTCCTGATTTCAAGACGTCGATCAAAAGGGGAACGAATCCTGACCGTACAATCTTCACTTTGTTCTGTTTCTCCAGCGAGAGGTTGACCAGCGAAGCGGCGGCGTTCGTCTGCACGAGATTGTAGCGTGAGACGAGAAGCGATCGGAGGAAGGAGAGGATTCGGTCTGTGCAGAGCGAAATCCGAAGATCCTCGCTGGATCTCGTCATCTTCCTAAGCAGAATCAGACCTTGCTCGTGGTCGAAAATGTCGGCGCCTCTCAGTTTGTTGAAGATCTCTTCTTCTTCCGGCGACATCGGAGGCAAGGAGGAGTGATCGGAGGAAGAGAAAGAGATAGCGTTCCTAAATGGACTATCAGCTCCAGCGTAGACTCCAGAGGAAGAGGTAGAGGAAGAAGAGAACATACTAACCGCTCGGGCCGGGTGAAACGGGCTCTGCCCAACCGTAACCGACTCAAGGGAAGTGGTCGGCGACATTGAATTCCTGGATCGAGCTCGAATCGCCTCCATCACGGCGTCGTAATCGGAAGGCGAATTCTCAGCCACAGGAGGGAGAATCTCAGGCTCCGGAGCCTTAGTATCCGGAGATTCCGGACCCGAAATCGAAGCCGGATCCTTATCCATCCGAGCACGAACCACGCTTTCGATGTAGGCGGAATCAGGAGGGCGAGGATGGTCGACTTTTTTCCGGTCGCACCAACTGAAAATGGTAGATTTCATGGCGAGATTAGGGATGACGGTGGAGAAGTCGGGTCGGGTCCCATCGAGTAGATCCGGTACAAACCCTAAGTTGCGACAGACCTGAACAGAGAGACGCTCGAAGGTTTGACCAGATGGGACGACAACCGGATCCGACATGAGGAATCCGGTGATGGGGCAGAGAAACTCCGGCGGGGTCTCGTCGTGTTTATGCTGCGGTACAGTTGTAGCGGTGGCGGAAGCGGATCGTTGGTGGAAGGAGAACCATCTCTGCCTGTTATTTCCACCCATCGCCACACCAAAAAGAAGAGATTTTTTTCGACAGAACTGGATAATGAGGAGAAAGAAGAAGACGACGAAGCGGCTCCGAGCAAAGAGCTCGAAATATTCAGGCTTTGATCCAGTCCAAGAGGTTTTTGATAGATAAACCGATCCAAATTGAGTTAAATTAAACCGGAACCCCTATCAATTGGAATTTACTATATTTTTCACCTAAATAAATGATAAACACTCTTAAAAAATGAAACAAAACGGAATTGGTAACACCAATAGTGACTTTTTCTGACTTTTTCTTGGTTTACTTTTGAGTTTTGATTATTAAAATTGTAAAGTTGATGATCATTAATGGACACCTCGTTATCACCATGAGCCAAAAATCGCTTCCGGATTAATACAGTAACGAGAAGTTGCTAATACCACAACTTTAAACTCCAAAATTGTGTCTTTCGATTTTTACCAAACATCTCTATGTTTTTGAGGGGATAATGTGCTAATTGTAATCTGCGTCCGTTGTTTGGATCCTTCTCTTTCATGGTAAATGAGCTATGCTTGCTTTCTTTCAAGTCTATGTTAATTAAAAACTTAAAAGTAGACCGAGTATTATATTCCTTTTTGTGGATATGATAATTGGCTAATTGCCGGTGACAGACACCTCCGGCGTGTTTCATACTCAAAAAACGAGTTTTTTAAAAAAATAAAGTTTTTTTGATAATTTGTATAGTTCTACATAAAGTTCTTTAGTATGTTAAAACAAATAATTATATTGTTTCTAGTGAGATAAAGTCGGAAAGGGTGACAGTACCGAGTAGATGAAAAAAAAACACACATGAACATGACATCCACTAAGATATGTTTTGCTTTGAATTGAGTCTCTTTTTTATTTATCTAGCCAACGCTTTGATTATATGTACAAAGAGAACGATAACATATTGTGAGAAATCGATCGTTCAATAGTCTTCTCACCCACCCAGCCTTAGTACGTAATCTAACATTATTACGATAAGTATATATATCTCATGTTCTCATCTATCCATTGCCCATTTTCTTCTTTTAAATCATGGGGTTGATGGTCTTTATTAAACGGATGTTACCATGCGTATGCTTGAAGGAGATAGTACTACATGATGACGATGAATCGATGATAATAATTGTATCTGTTCCAACATTCATATTCTTCTCTCATTCCCAATTATTTTTTGGGGCTCATATTCCTCCATTTTAACCAATTTAAGATGGTCTAATGGCTGAATGATTCATTATAGGATTCGAGTTGTTTTATTTTGATTGTAACAATTGTAAAGTTATCAAGTTTTTCACAGACATCAGATATTAGAAGAAACTTTGATCCGAAATTTTCATATCATTCAACACAAAAAAATCCTCCGTTTTATGAGGATGAGTGTTTAGGGATCATCATCCCCTTGGATCAATTTTGTTTGATTAACAAGCAAAGTACAAAGCCCTAATGGACGAGCCCAAATAAAGCCCAACGTTGAGAAACATTAATGGGTCGTCACATTTGAAAACCCCTCCTCCCAATCTTACCCTGTTAATCTATCGATGGCGCGTTATTTGAATTTGAAATTTCGAAAAACAACTACACAGCCAAAAAGAGGTGCCCCACTCACAACGGAGCGTCTGGGAAAATGTAGGCCCTCAGATTTGAAATCAGCCGAATCGGACGGTTCGTAGTTATTCTCCCTAGCATCTCTCCTCATAACTCAAAGAGACTTTAACTATTTTCCCGCTCTCAAGGCAAACTGCAACAGAAACTTAGGTTACGCATTAGATTTTCCAAACTCTTCAAAAGTAGACCCTCTTATTTCAGATATCTTCGTTTTTAAGCGCAAACTATAGATTTTGAACCTAATCCCCATTTGTTACCTCACAGATATATGACGATTCTAAAATTAAGAAGCGGTGAATGTATGAATACATAAAAATATATAAGTTACATACGCTGATTAAGAATAGTCCATTAATAAGCGGGTCGAAATTGGTTTAACTAAAACAATGGGGTCATAATAGAAACTAGCATATAGTGTAGGGGGCCACACGCGAGTCTACTCTTTACAAAATCACATTGTTTTAAGTCAGATTTCTCCGCTCTCACATTTTCAAATTGAAATCTTCAGTTTATTCCCCACTCCAGAGAAAAGACAGAAAAAAAAAAAAAAGTGTATCTGAAGTTTATCTATGGAGAAATCAACGGAGAAAAGCGTGAGCTCTGTTGCTTCTGGTAATTCGATCTTCATTTCCTTCTCTTTGATTGTCAATTCACGTTTCTGTTTCGTGATTTTTTTTTTCTTTTCTGATTTGATATCGTGGAAATTCCTAACAGGAAACTCAATCAACTCGAAACTGAGGTATCCTCTAAGATCGGCTCTCAGATCAAAGGAAGGGAAGCCTCCTGTTCCTGATTTTTCAGGTTCTTCAGTGCCCAGAAGGTACTGTGTGCATAGTTTTCGTTTTTCGATTTCCATTATCAGAATTACCTTTCAAATTGCTCCGATGCAATACTGTTATTCTAGATCTGGTATATGAGACATTGATTAGACTTAAGATCTATAATAGTTTAGTCTTTCTGAATTCAGAAGAAGCTTTTTTGAGAATATTTCCCAGAATTTATAGAATAAGATCATATATTCCGTCATTTGTTTTGTAGTTTGTGTCTGAGGCCATATAAGCCTTGTTGTAGCTATTCTAATTTAAATTTGCAGTATAAATCGTCTTATGAATGATATTTTTGTGTGGATCGAATCTCAGGGGACGAGTTGCATCTGCTGTTAGCCAGAGTACTACAGTTCTTGATTTATCTGGTAAAAAGAGTGTTGATCGCGCCAAGCCACCCAGAAGACTGTCGATTCCAACCAAGACCTCAAGCAATTCTTCAGTTAAATCAGTCAGTAGCATCACTTCCGTCTCAGAAAGCAAGCCCAAGAGATCAGCCAATACCAGGAGCTTGAATGAAACACCTGTCCCCAGTGTGCTGAGATCAGTGACTCGAAGAAAAGTTGAAGACTTGTCTTCCTCGACTTACTGGCTGTCTCACATCAAGCTAGCTGAATCAGCGGCGAAACATTCCATCTCTCTCGGTTTTTTCAAACTTGCTCTTCATGCAGGGTGTGAGGTAAAAATGCTGCTAATTCCATGGAAGCTTTTGTTTTGAATTAGCCTTAGATTGTTTGCTTTTAGTAATGCTCACTGGGTTTGTGTTTTGGAATCTTAGCCGATCGACCAGATGAAACAAGAGTTGAAATCATACGCTCGTCGCAATAGCTTGGAGGAGCTTGCTGATGCTATGAAGGAGCTATCTGAACTGTACAATACCTCAGAAGAATCGAAGCAGGTGCAGATCTCAGAGACCAGTTCTGTTGTCGCTGAAGAAACCGCTGCGTCCCTGAACAATGATAATGATGATGTCCAGAGTTCACTCTCCACTCCTGGAAATTCGAACATCACGTCAGAGATCATGAAAGAGGATGCTTCGCAGGATTCAGCTGTCATTGAAACAGCCAAGGAGGAAGAGGCCTCTGAAGCCATCCCACAAGGAAGAACCAGAAGGTCTTTGGATGTAATCAATGTTAATCAAGAGGATGATGTTTCAGAGACTGTTCAGGGATCAGAAGATGGAGTTCCAATAGTGACTGTTGTTCAACCTTCAGACAAAAAGCGTGCAAGCAGGAAGGAGACTGTATCCAAGAACAACCTGCCCGTGAGGACCAAGAAGTCAGTAGCAAGCAACTCTGGTAACTCAAGACCAGTACCAGAAAACAAGCCTCAGAAGAAGGATGAGAAGATCACTAAGCCCAGGACTAAGAAAATTCAAGAGGAGACAAAGAAGTCAATCAAGAAACCTGCTGCTAAAGAAGGTTAAGATATATAAATCATACAGCGTCTTTGAAAAGCGTGTGTGGCTGATGGTGTTTGGTGTTCTTTCTTGTAGGTGAAGTTAAATCTCTGAAGCAAATGAAGAAAATGGAGAACAAAGAAAACTCTGTGAGTACAAAACTTTGTGCAGTTCAAATAAAAAACTTGTCCAGTTCACACGTTTCTGGAGCTAAAAGACTAACACGAGCGTGATCATTGCAGGTTGTTGTTGATGAAGGAGAAGAAATCCAGGTTTAAAAGGAAGAAACAGAGAATCGTTTTTTTTTCTTCACATTTTACAATCAACTCTTTTTTCCTTTTGGTTTAAATTGATTTGTTCAAGGTACATAGTCGAAACGCTTTTGCAAGTTTGGTTTGAAAGACAAAACAAATGTTTTATTTGGTTGCTTGTGTAATTGTGTGTTCTTTTATTTCCATGTTTCTCAGTTGATGTATCTCTCTCTTGTATTGTTTGCGGAAATTTGATTACTCGTAGCTATGGGTACAAAGAATTCTGAAACTTATAGATCCGATTTTCAAATTACTTAACAAGAGAAAACTATTCAACATTCAATTTCTCAGTAGCCATTATTTCGAACAAACGAAATAATATATAACTCTCCACTGATGCACAATGCTAGTCATTCTGGCTTTGATGATACTGAAATAGAAAGACGCACATACGATTTGTTTGTAACGATTAATTGATTAAATCACATATAAATTACAAAATCCATTGTATTACTAAAGGCAAAAACAAATAGAAAAAGGGGCATTCAAGTTTCCAAGTGCATGATGCTTTCACTCTTATCGAAAAGCTTGAGATCAGAGTACGAATTGTCACTAAACCTGTAGGCCGATGTTTCTCTGATGAAAGTAACCTTTCTCAAATCATTCTTTAGCAGATCATAGTAGAGAATGTAACAAGTGGAATGACTGTGACGGGGTGCCAAGATCACCTCGCCTTTTTGAGTTGTACCTTTCACTATCCAATGAATGATGTTACCGTCATCGACTAAATCCCTCTGACATGGCTTCACAACCAGACCTCTCCTGGACCATTTTCCACCATCTTCCAAGACATATATGTCCACCCATCCCTTTAGTACAAGAAGGGTATGATCAAGGATCGTTGGTTTGCCACCATACTCTATAAACCCCACCTGCTCGTACACCTCGTGAGGTGCTAATTGGATCATACTGAACTCTTCAGACCTAACGTCAAAACTGACAACGACATCGCGAGACGTGCAAGTGGAAGCCAGATAGTATATAACTCCATCGATGCACATTCCTTCTCTAGTAGGATGGTGGTGTTTATCAAACTCGATCTTTTTCCAAAAACCTCCGGCTTCCAATAACAAGACCCAATACTCCGAGGTTATCCTCTTCGGCTCTTCCGAGTATATCACCCTAGCGCAGACAACTTTGTATTGATCAAGGACAGGATCGTGTCCGAGAGAGTAGAAGACATACTTGCCAGGTTCTTCCTGAGCAAAGATTTCGGATTTGACGGCGGGTAAGGTTACGCTTTGCCTGGTGGCGGGATTATAGATACACGCCCTTCCGAAAACAGTGTACAGAATCAAACCGCGAAGAACCACCATGTTGTATCCTCCCATCCCTGGCATGGTCAAATCTGGGCTGAAAGACTCACCACTATCACTAGACGATGATGAGAACGATATCAGCTCAGACTTTCCGGGATTGAGGCAGACCTCCATTGAATCACACTCGACGTGGTCCATCATACTGATGTATAGACGCGGTGGTGGGGACGCGACACTAAGATAACGGTTGGTAAAGTATCGGGAACGGATAAGACGAGACCAGAGCTTTGACACGCACTTGAACCTCATCAGCGATTTAGCAGGCAATCTGATCAGGATCTCAATCTGGAGATCCAAAGGAATCTCCAAGCTGTCTCCTTTTCGTCTTCTTTTTACTCTTCTTCCTCCTCTTATCATCACCTTCGGATACCTCTTCTTCCATTGAAGAGACGACAAAAACAGAGCAAGGGCCAGACCCATAGCTACTAATTCACAATAGCCTTAATTCACAAGCACTTATACATCCAAATTCCTACTCCGTAGGAAACCGGACTCTATATCCGAGTAAGAGAGACAGAGGAAGACGATCTAGGGTTTGAATATCTTGCTTGTCAAGTTAGTTTTTTTTCTCTTATTTCTTCGTAAAACGGCGCCGTTTGTCTTTGCTTTAAGTAGCTAGTTTGATTAATATGCCATCTCTGTGGGCTACAAACAGTTGGGCCTCCATCACGATATGGACAATATTTGCCTCAAAAAGAATATGCATTTTATCAAATTTATTTACATATCATTTCCAAATGTCGTGAACAACCATCTCAACTTTAATCTATAGTTCCATATTATACTTTGGTACATTTTTTTTTTTTAAAACAAAGTTATTATCCCAGAAAACGGCATTGTAACCTCTACCAGGATATGATTTTTGCTCATACAACTTTTGAGTCTTTTTTTACAATCAACTTGAATGAGATCCTTGTTTCACAACAACTCACAATAACTTTCTTTAGTTGATTAGTTCAGAGGATCGAGTCGTTCTTCTTGCTAAAAACACTAACACAGCGGAACAGAGAAGCGTTTTTCTTATCTCAATCATTCTTTGCGCTTTTGGTTTGAATGATTTGTTCAAGGTACCTAGTTGAAAAGCTTTTGCAAGTTTGTTTAAAAAGCTTGGTTTCAAAGACGAACAAATATTTTATCTGCTTGCTTTGTAAGTTGTAACTGCCTTATGTCTTATTTCCATGTTTCTTGATTTCATGTCTTTCTTCTACTCTTGTCTGTTCCAATTTGATTATTCATAGTTATCAAATATATTTTGGAGTTAAAAAAAAACTCATTCTGAAACTTAGAAATCTGATTTTAAAATGACTTAAACCATTCAACATTCCAATTACTCATTAGTCAATACAAACTGAATCATATATTACACATAGCTCTGCTCCACGATCTCCCTGACTTTCCTGTTATATTCTCGTTTATTCTCACTGAACAACCTTGCAGCCTCCGAGTTTGCTGGTGAATTAGGGTTTGGGTCACAAAGCAGAGACTGTAGAAAAGCACACAAAAAAAGATGTTGGTTTAGTTAGCTTGTGCGTAAACCCCACAGTGCAAAAGATGCAGTGACGAGTTTGTAAGTGGAAACCTGAATGGATGTGAGTATTGCAGAAACGTCGTAGATGGGGCTCCATTGGTTTTGTAAGATATCCAAGCAAATGCTTCCATCAGCATAAACTGCACCCAAAGTTCAAATATCTAAGTTTAACAGTCGTCGTATTTGGTCTTCTACTTACTTGTCCATTGAGATTGAGCTTACTGTTTGGATGAAACATCTTGGAAACAAACCGGACTACTGGGGGTTTGTTTGGATAATCCTCGGTGAACTGAAGAGTTAACTTGAAAGTACCTAACAGATGAATACAAGCTTGGTTTAGTTTTAGCTTAAAAGTTTTATAGCCCATGAAATATGTAGCAACAAGTATAGTAGACAGATTTTTACCTCCCTCCCATGGACTGTCATCAGGTCTGCAAAGACAGTGGAGAAGATTCGTTTACACAGCCACGTTTTAAAGTATATTATTGAAGGCAAACAAAAAAGATAAGAGTAACAAAAAAATGGTTTTTAAGATCATTGTACCCAAAGATGACAGCATTCCAGTGCATGATGTTGTTATCTTGAGGAGCTCCACTTATCCCCACGGGAGGATCTTTCTGCAGTCTCTTGAAATCCCACATTAGTCTCTTTCTCGCAGGAGTTGCCATTATTGATTGTTGCAAAGCCTGCATCGAAATGTGAAAGATTTCAAGTTTAACTCTTTTCAGTTGTATGGTAAGAGCAATCGCATTTCACATGAACCAACCTAACTGATTTTAATCCCATTCGCCAAAAACACACATTGGTAAAACATTTTCCCGATAAAGATTTCAACTTTCTTGGAGCAGAGACCAAGATCTACATTTCTGTTATCTACCTGAAGCTCCAACATCACTAAACCCCAAAGGCCAATGCCAATTTCAACCAAAGAAACGAGAGACACTTAACTTCTAAAGAGATCAAATCATAAACAAGAAAGTCTTTGAGTTTTGGAGAAAACGTACAGTGGCTCAGTGAAATTCAAAACCTAAAAAATTGGGATCAAATAGATCAGAGTATAATTGTCGACATCAATTTCAACGAGCACTAAGGATCAGATTCTACAACCACTTTACTTCTCTCGTAAATACTAAAACCCATAGATAAGACTGGAAGATGATGGATATATAGTTACAGTCGGAAGAAGGATTTGATATCATGATGTCAAGGATTCGAACGAGAAAGCTCGACTAACCTGAAATTCAAAGCTGCGTCGAGGAATAATCCAGCAGGTGACCAAAAAGCTAGGGTTTTTTCAATAGTTAACCTTCGATCTATGAACAAGACCGTATGTTTCTTCACGAGACCAAGAGATGATGAAAATCAACGAGTGGAGAATAGCAAAAGTAAAAAAATAGAGAGAGAATCAATGAAGAGAAATTGATTTTTTTTTATCTTCAGCAAATCAGAGAGAATCTAAAATCTAGAGAAAGAAAGAAAAAAAGGGGAGAAGCAGTGAGAAAGACAAAGATCATTTTAAACTATTTTCTTCCAAAGGTGGAGAAAAAGTTTTATTTATTCATTTTTTAATATTTTGAGGAATTTATTTAATCGTTTAGCGTAAAGACAAACAAGTGCGTCAATGCCCAAGCAGACGTGACTCAGCAAGCTATCTCATTTTAATCTTACTCCTCTAATTAAATGGAGTATTAATTAAGAAGATACTTACTTTTTAATTTATTTACTTGGAAATCTGTTTAGATAGGATTAGATAGTTTCCCTTTGTGTTTTAATTTATTCTTACTCCATTTAATTAGAGGAGATTTTTGTATGCTTCTTCCTCAACGAGGATTAATAACTAGCAATTAAAAACTGTGGCGTTAGACGGTAAATAATCTTAAAATAAAGGGAAACTATCTCTAAATATCTAAAACTTATTTATGTATTCAATCAATCAATCAATCAGGGGAGACCATCTAGTGTGTACTCTCCTTTTTTTATAAGCCAAATCAAATCACTCAGAAATCGCCATTTACCGATCTCGAACGTCTCATTTCATCTTTCTCCGTCTCTTCTGGATCTTACGCAATGTACAGAGTCTTGGCGAGCAGAGGCCTGAGAGCTAAGTCTCTCTTTGACAAATCCTCGAGCTACCTTGCTTCTTTGACCTCTTCCAGGTTTTGAAACTTCCTTTTTTTATCGTTGTTCATCTCTCGAGATTGTTTTTTCGCCTTTTGGGTTTGCATGTTTTTCCCTAAATTAATCGACTTTCCACTTTTCCTAAAAATGAATTTCTTCGATATGACTGGAGTTTAACAGTCTCAAATATATATTTAATTAAAGTATATAAAAAGGACAAAACTTTAGCAAGTTGGTGTTTTAAAAATTTGAGATTTGGATTTGGTACTGTTATATATAATCGAGTATCCGCATCTGCAAGTGTCCATGTAATGGAGATAGTGTTAGAGGTCGAGTAGTAATTATTTGCATGTTAGATCTTACTCTGAAGCTTGGTGTTACCTTTTCGCAGATTGAATCATTCTATACCTTTTGCTACCGTCGATGCCGAGGAGATATCTGGTGCTCATCCTGCTGAAGTACAGAGCTTTGGTAGATTTTAACTTCTCAGTTGTTTTTCATAACTCTCTGAATTTGCTATTTTAGTTCTAGATTGCTCAATGAAGCCATGGAAACGAGTGAAAGCTTCTTGCTTTTTAAGGTGCTGTTGTGGAATCTCTGAACTCTACTTATCCTTTATATCTATAGTGCAGGGAAAGTGGATAGGGTCGGCGAACTATAACACGCTTCTGGATCCTCTGAATGGAGAACCCTTCATTAAAGTTTCTGAAGTGGAGGAATCAGGAATTCAGGTGCGTGCGTGCCCATCAAAAACCGTAAATCGTACTGCACCATGGGATTGTTCCCAGATTCTAACTTTATCTCTGCTGTTCTATGTTGCAGCCATTTGTTGAGAGTTTATCACAGTGCCCGAAACATGGTCTGCATAACCCTTTCAAATCTCCAGAGAGGTATGTTTTGCTTTGGATTTAAGAAGCTTTTTTTGTTATGCTAATTCTCACTTCGTTTATTCAATATACTTAACATATGGTCCTACAGATACCTTTTATATGGGGATATCTCGACAAAGGCTGCTCATATGCTCGCCTTACCTAAGGTAACATATGTTTTTTTTCTTTAGTGTGAATCTCCATTCTTGATCGAAACTCAGATTTCCTGAATGATGTGCGTACTTAGCTACTGGTTGTTTGTTATTGTATGCGTAATATGCAATATCAGGTATCTGATTTCTTCACGAGGTTGATTCAAAGGGTCGCTCCAAAGAGTTACCAGCAAGCTGCTGGAGAAGTCTTTGTCACACGCAAGTTTTTAGAGAACTTTTGTGGTGATCAGGTACATGAATCTCTTCACTATATATATATGTTGGCTCTTGGTTTGTCGCTTTCTCGAAAATGCCTATATATACATTTCATTTTCGAAATTACATTTTGTAGAGTGTTTGTTTAATATTTCTGCTTCAATTTCTTTTATCAGGTGCGGTTCCTGGCACGGTCTTTTGCAGTACCTGGGAATCATCTCGGGCAGCAAAGTCATGGCTACCGCTGGCCTTATGGTCCTGTAAGGCATTTCTTCCTAGATGCTTGTAACTTGTGACAGTTCTGCTTTGTGCTCTGTTTTGTAATGGTTGATTAATGATGCAGATAACGATTGTTACACCATTCAATTTTCCACTTGAGATTCCACTACTTCAGCTGATGGGGGCATTATACATGGGTAACAAACCTCTTCTTAAAGTGGACAGCAAGGTATTAATTATTCTCTCACATTGGTATATTCTTCCTAATTGGTATTGGTTCCATCTGGTTGAAATGATCTCCCTCTTGTGTATTCTTTTCGTTTTCATGATTGTTTCAAATGTCATGTGGATAGGTGAGCATTGTAATGGAGCAAATGATGCGGTTGCTTCACTATTGTGGTTTACCCGTTGAAGATGTTGACTTTATAAATTCCGATGGCAAGACTATGAACAAGATATTGTTAGAGGTTTGTGTTCCGGAATTCACATGTCTATTGTCTCCGCAGGTTTTTCGTAAGCTGAGTTAATTCAGTGTTTTGTCCATTTTTGCAGGCGAATCCAAGGATGACCCTCTTCACTGGTAGCTCTAGAGTAGCCGAGAAGTTGGCACTTGACCTTAAGGGTCGTATCAGATTGGAAGACGCTGGATTTGATTGGAAAGTGTTGGGACCAGATGTTCAGGAGGTTTCTTATTATAAACTTTCTACTTATATGATTTCCATAACTCTCTTTCGATGTGATTGTTATCCCTGACTTTGCGCGTCCAAATGTCAGGTTGATTATGTTGCGTGGGTGTGTGATCAAGATGCGTACGCGTGCAGTGGACAGAAGTGTTCTGCACAGTCTATGCTTTTTATTCACGAGGTTGGTTTGATCCTAATTATTTTTATGCTGAAACTGCCTTTTGAATTCTTTGGTTTACCTCCAGTTTCTAGTGAGTCTTCGTCGTTTTCAATGTGTTTTCTTTCTTTTGAGCAGAACTGGTCAAAAACCGGTCTTGTTTCCAAATTAAAAGATCTTGCCGGAAGACGCAAACTGGAAGACTTGACCATTGGTCCTGTCCTTACAGTAAGTTTCACAATTTCTCCATCTGTTTTAATCATCCGAGCATCCGATGAGATTGTTTCATGAAAACTGTTTCTGTTATTATTGTTTCAAGTTTACAACTGAGGCTATGTTGGAGCACATGGAGAATCTGCTTCAGATTCCGGGCTCAAAGCTACTCTTTGGTGGGAAGCCATTGAAGAATCATTCAATTCCTTCAATCTATGGAGCTTTGGAGCCCACTGCGGTTTATGTTCCCATTGAAGAAATCTTGAAGGACAGTAAAACCTACGAGCTCGTCACCAAAGAAATCTTTGGACCGTTTCAGGTTATATCAAATTTCATTTTCAATCTAAATTGTTCTGTGTGTTTCCCTTGTTGAAAAAAAAAAATACTTAAAAGCAATTTCTGTATCTCTAATTTCCAGATTGTAACGGAGTACAAAAAGGATCAACTTCCTCTAGTGTTGGATGCTCTAGAGAGGATGCACGCTCATCTAACTGCAGCTGTCGTTTCAAACGATCCCATCTTTATTCAGGCAAAATCTTTCACCTATATTGATGTCTTGTCTCGATCAATCAATCTTTGCTCTGTCTTGTCTCGATATTGATGTAACAAATCTGTGCAGGAAGTGATAGGGAACTCGGTGAATGGAACTACATATGCAGGACTCAGAGGAAGAACAACAGGAGCTCCTCAGAATCACTGGTGAGAGAGAGAGAGAAACATTGTTTCAAATTATTGTAACATCTCTCTTACCTTTTTCTTTGAGGTAAAAAGTAAACCACGAAGGCTAAAATGCTATAATATAAACACAGGTTTGGACCAGCAGGGGACCCGAGAGGAGCAGGGATAGGGACACCAGAGGCTATAAAGCTGGTGTGGTCATGCCACAGAGAGATCATCTATGACTATGGTCCGATTCCACAAGGTTGGGAAGTTCCTCCATCTACTTAAACAAGTCGTGTGTGTGTGTGATTGTGTCCACACTACTAAATAAATAGCTGAAGCTTAGTTTGCTGTAGCAACAAATAAGAATGAGTTTTGTAGTTTCAGTATATGAGGAAATAAAACCCTTAGTGTTAGTCAAAGGGTGAGATGGGGATTAAGAGAGAGCTATTGTTGAAACTCAAAAGAGGAAATTTATTTCTTTTTCTTTTAAAGTCTACTGAAAAAATAAAAAAATTTCGTCACTATCCTAACACACGCATTTGCAAATCTGTCTACGGGTCTTGATTCTTGTGTGCCCGGGGAATACAAAACCCAAAGTGATGATGATCTGCAAATGGAGTTGAGTTTTACTGTTGTGCTTTATGCCCAAAAGCTTTGATGATATGAACAAGCAATTTGTCTCCGGTTATACTTCTGACTCGTTGTATTAGCTCGCTCCTTGAGATTCTCATGTTCTGTTAGATGCAACAGGAAGCAGCAATTAGAATGTGGGATTTACCTCAAAAGCCAAAATGAGAAAGAAGAAACAAACACTTACTTGCTGATCTTTATAGTGTTTTTGAATGATTAGTATTTGAGGAGGAGATAGAAACTTGGATAATGCTTTGATCAATACAGGAAATGCCATCCATGGCGATGTCAATCTCTTTGGACTTCCTGCAAAAAAAAAAATGTTTATTACAGTGTCCAGAAAAAACAGAATCAAGAACAGAGGAAACAGTTTCAGTTTTGGTTTTGTTTTGCTTACGAATACGATTGAAGTTAAATGGAGCTTTGATGCAGACGAGGAACTCAGGCAAGACATGTGTGTTCATGTGTGTGCTCCACACGATATACTTGCTCGGAGAAGCTAAATCGTCTACACCTGAATCGAATTCTTGAGAAGTCGGACACGATTGAGTCGAGCCTCGAGGAACAATCTCTGATTTTCCAAGTATAACTCTCGAGAGTAGCAAGAACCTCGTCCCATCTTCTGATTCCGGAGCTGAATCCTTTAAACTAAGATATATAAATTTAGAAATTAGACCGACGAACCAAACCATTTCGGGAAAGAAAAATGACTGAAATTTCAGGGATTGCTGAATTTACCATTCGAGAAGAGCGTTATCCGGCGAGAGATACAAGCCACGGCCGTGAGATCCGTCGTTTCTCGGCTCGCTAAACCCGTAATCCAAAATCGATTTAAGCTCTGTTTTCGCGACGGCGCACCAACCGTACTTCACCTTGCTTTCTCCGCCGTGTTTCAACTCCACCGCCTCTTGGAAAACCTGGAAAGCCTTGAGCTTGGCGCGAGATCCAACGCCGCGGAATCCGTTTCTGAGGATGGAGAGAAGCTGGCATTGGTCGCCGAGACCAGATTTACAGTTGCGGTAGATTAGATCGTAAGCTTTGTCGCCTTCAAGCAATTCCATAAGCCCGTGCTCGTCGGCGAAAGACGGTCCTCGTCGACCGTACGAATCACAGCTTCCAGATTCCGAGATCGTTGATCCTTCTTGCTCCGAGTCGAAATTAGCTACGAATTCAGTTCTTGCGTAATCCATTTGAAAAGATTAGAAAAAAAAAAATTCTGAGAAATGGGATCAAATAGGAAGTGGAATCGCCGAAAGAAGAATATCAGACCGTGTAGAACACGACTTTGAATCAAAATGGAAAAGAAAAATCTTAGGCTTTGAAAAGTTTCTGCTTTTTAACAAGATGATGATGATAGAGCACAAAGAACTTGAGCTCCAAGTGCATATATATAAGCAAAGATTTACAGATATGGAAAGTGGAATTTAAGAACCGCCTGTTCTCGTCGGTTTTGCATTTTATTTATAATAAAGCTTAAAATCTAAAATTTCAGAAGTTCTTGTCCTTTTCTCCGTGGAGAAGACGTAAACACCATTTAAACACATATTAAAAAAAAGTTTTTAATTACAAAAAAAAAAAGATTATGTGTTTGTATAGGTTTTGTAAATTAATTTCGGAGTTTGCGGCCGCTAGCTGTTGCCTGTTTATTTTTTCTCTGCCTAATCCTCGATGGGTAGTTTCCGTGTGCGGGTTGGCTTAATAAAATACCGAAAATACCCTTTGAAATAACGTGGGCTAAGATAGATATGTAAAATGAAATGACGAAATTACACCTCAGAACATTACCCGTTCATTTTTTTAGAAAGCCACGGCCGACACACGTTTTATCTATTCCCTTGATCTAAACCATTTTGTTTAAGTCCCAAAAGCCCATTAACTGAACCAATGTGATCAATCAATTGTTTACTATTGGGCCACAAAATATTATTAAAACTGAAATTTAATAGACCAGCACAAGTGTTAAGGTGACTAGAGAACACTTATTTAGGTAACCCACAATTGTAAATACTATCTTTACAATTATATTTTTAGTCAAAGATAGTCTTATAATGGTACTTTTTAACAGACTATTTTTGACTAAAAACATAATTGTAAAGACTATCTTTGACTAAAAAATATAATTGTAATTGGTTTATATTTAGGTAACTAGAACATTTACTGTAAGTAATGTTCAAATGGTTATTTTTAACATATTATTTTTTGACTAAAAAATATAACAGTAGAGATTTTTTTTTATTAAAACTCAATGTAATTGGTTTATATTTATGGGAATGTTCAAACAATAAAATGGAACAGATTATTTTTGACTAAAAACATAATTAGTTTATATTTAGGTAAAGCCATAAACAAAAATATTTAACACTTTTTTTAAAAAAAAACACCATATTTCTTCAAAACATTATGTATTATAAATACTACACACATTGATGTTTTTAAAACTCCAGGAAATATTTTAGATCCAAAAATGAATTATCTTATACTGTTAATGTTAGTTGCTGCTACATCTTTCACAGCAAACAAAGCTTGCGAAAAAAATGTTGTAGAAATTCATAATGAACTCGAACCTAGTAGAGTTCTCCAATTGCATTGTCGTTCTATAGACAACGACGATCTGAGTGTACAATACCTCAATTTTAATGCTACTCCATATACTTTTAGATTTCATGGCAAGATGTTCATGACAACAACATGGATGTGTCTTTTAAGACAAGGACCTAAAATGGAATATTCTTATGATGTTGAAGTGTACCGAGGGGCACGCCGACTCTTTCCTCGCTGTGGTCAGCTACGTGTATGGACAGCCAGACTTGATGGAATATACTTTAAAAGAAGGTATAGTGACCCATTAGGTTTTGCATTGCGATGGAACACCACCAATCTGATCTTATCTTAAATGTAGCAAAATATTTTTCTAAAAATAAATCATTTGATATCAATATATATCCTGTGTGTGGGATTATGTTTTCATCTATAAATTATAATATCTTTTTTTTTTTTTAATTTGCATAGTCTATATCAAACTGCATTGTCGTTGACGACTTAGGTATAAAATAATTTTTTGGAACTCAAACATTTGTAATAACGTTCAAGTGGTACATCTGGACATATTATTTTTTGACTAAAAACACAACCGTAGAGATTATTTTGATTAAAAGTCTGTTTGTAATTGATTTATATTTAGGTAACTTGAACAATTATAGTAATGTTTCACTGGTACTTTTTAACAGGCTATTTCTGACTACACAACTGTAAAGATTATTTTTTTGATTAAAAATATAATTTTAATTGTTTCTATTTATGTAACTAGAACAATTATAGTAATGTTCAAATGGTACTTTTTAATAGATTATTTTTGTCTAAAACACAACTGTAAAAATTATTTTTTTGACTAAAAATGTTATTGTAATTGGTTTATATTTAGGAAACTATAACATTTATAGTAATGTGTAAATAGTAATTTTGACGAGATTTTTTTTTAGACTAAGAACACAGCTGTTGAGTTTATTTTTGACTAAAAATCTAATTGTAATTGGTTTATATTTAGGAAACGAGAACATTTATAGTAATTTTCAAGTGGTATATTTGAATAGATTTTTTGACTAGAAATCTGATTGGTTTATATTTAGGTAAAGTCATCTAAGAAAATATTTTATACTTCAAAAAAAAAGTCATCTTTAACAGGATTTTTTTATTATAAATACTACAACATTGATGTCTTGAAAACTCCAGTAATGATCTTAGATTAAAAAATGAGTTATCTTATAATTTTTATGTTAGTTGCTGCTACATCATTTACAGCAAATGAAGCTTGTAAAAAAAATGTTGTAGAAATTCATAACGAGCTCGGACCTGGTAAAGTTCTGGAATTGCATTGTCGTTCTAAAGACAACAACCTCGGTGTACAACGCTTAAGTTTTAATGCTAGTCCATATATCATCAGATTCCATGACGAGATACCCAATATAACAACATGGGCCTGTATTCTTAGGCAAGGACCTAAAATGGAATATTCTTATGATGTTGAAGTGTATCGAGGAGCAGAACAACTCATTCCTCGATGTGGTCAGCTACGTGTATGGACTGCCCGAGTTGATGGGATATACTTTAAAAGAAAGTATAGAGACCCGTTAAGTCGTGCACTGCCATGGAACAAAGGTTAAATCGCCAGTCTGATCATCTGTCTTATATGGAACAAAAACACTATTTTAATAAAAATGGAGAAGTCATTTGCTATAAATACCTGTGCGCGGGATCATGTTTTCTTCTATACAATTCTGTTGTTTTGTTTTATGAATATACTGTAATGGTATTTATGAGGTTTCTCATTGTTATAGATATGAATATGCAAAAACTTCCTCTCGTCTTATCCCTTCCTATTTGCATTCTATTTATGTTAATAGAATATTTTGTCGGGCGAGACAAGCTTTCTATTTGCAGAAGTTGATCACTGAACCAATGTGATGATTTAATTAATTACATGACTTGTGTATCCGTAATTTTTTGTTTTTTTAATTAATACTTTAGTGATAGATGATAAACATAATTAAGCACATCAATAGGTGGCTCACACAAACCACAATAAACCAAGAAGAGAAAAGGATCCGAAGGGTGAAAAGTGAAAACCACGAGGGTAATCTTAAAACATAATTATTAAGATCAAATAGCTGCTGCTGAAGCACATTTTGTAGCACCAAGATTTAATATGAGATGATAAAAAAGAAAATATTTACCTAGTAAATTTAAGGAGACTTCCAATTTTTGTTGATTTACTTTTAGTTTATTTATGTTATACTTTTGTGTAATTTATTTTATACTAGTCGAATTATTCTAAACATTGTTGAAATAATAAATTTCCAAAACTTTTCTTTTATTTTAAACATTTGACTTGGTTTGAATTTTATAGTTAACAATAAGTTTAAGATTTATTTGGTTTGATTTTTTGGCCAACCATACGTTTTGACAACCTATTTTAACTAAAAATTAATTGATTCGTATTTATGTTTAAATTTAGCTAAAGCTACAAAAAGATTATTTAATAATCAAAGAAAAAATATCTTTTACCCAAAAAAATTATAAATACTAAAAAGTATTAAAATTACGATAAAGAGAACAATATCGTGGTGACTCCATAAGCATTAAACAGTTAAATTTACGATAAAAAGAAATCGGGTTTGAATCGGAGATTGCTAGACAGCTAAAAATAACTTCAGTAGATGGCGTATGTTTTTATGGTAATACATGTTTTTAGTTGAGAGGCCCATAATTTTGTTATTGGGTCACACATCATTTCAGTATCTAAAGGCCCAGTTAATACATATAATAATAGGAGACTAAAAGCATTGTTATTGTTACACATAGAAAAACCAAGGGTATGAGAGTCTTTCAAACTTAGGAAGGAACGGATTCGGTTCGGTTCGGTTCACTTTAAAACCGAAAAACGGTTAGGGGTAAACTGAATAATAGGCAAACATCCTCTCGAAAGTGATCTATCTTCTAAGACAAGGCAATGGACCATCATTGTCCCCTACTTTTGAAACTTGTTTTTGTTAGAAATAACAACTTTAAGTCTGGGTCTCTGCTTCTTCTTCTGCTTCTGCTTCTTCTGCATCTTCCTCTTCTTCTTCCTCCGCCTCAATCCCTAGAGACTGGTTCAGGCACTCTTGAGCTTCTTCTAATGCAGACTCATTTGCATCTGTTGCATATAATATCTTCTTAAAAGCTACCACTACCTGCACATATTATGGTATCAGTACGTATCATCAAATATTTTTGAGTCCAAACGAAGGGAAACAAAGGCAACCAACGAAAAAAAGGCATTGCTATGAGACTTACCGGAAGATCATCGTCGAGTTCAGGAGTCTGACAGAGTATCTCTATATCCCGGAGCTTAGAGAAGTAAAAGTCTCTTTCTTTTTCCAAGAGATCGACTGAGACCTTGAGATCTGCAAGCTGGTGTTGTGAAAGAAGGTTTCGTTACAGATTTTATTCTCATTCACATGGAAGTAGTAACGAATGCAAACGATTAGTTAAAGAAGGATGGTTAGATGCTAATTACCTCCTTCGACAGAGCTAGCACTTCGGCTGATGAGTTGCTCCCACCTCCAATTGCATGTGATCTTGCTTGCTTGGGACCTAGAAGGTTGAGAAAGTTATAAATTCTGGATAGGGACGATGTTGGATAATAAGAGAAGCTAATTTAAATGGCAGACCAGGTGGTTTGTTGGAAGTAGTGACCGGAGGATGATGCATATTGTTTGTTTGCAATGACTTTGAGACCTTACTCGTTCCCTTTACGCTTTTCTCTCTGCCACCTCTTGATCTTCGTTCTACCGGATTATAATTCCTACAATGATGAAATCCAGTGGAGTGAGATTAAGAAGACGTTTAGGTATTCATTAAAAGAAACAAAACGAGAGGGAAAGTAGCAAAGTAGTCCATACTCATTCATAATGCCGCCATTTATGGAATCGCAAAAACGTTTCAGCCATTGTAGAAACTCCAAGTTGTCTAGTGGTCGTCCTTTGACAAGCCTGTTGACTTCCAGTGGCTGAGGTATTTCCCATTTATACAAACGACATTGTAAAGCGATAAACATATGTTGAAGATCTTTATCCCAAGCAAACGTAGGGGGGAAAACTGATATACTATTAAAACGAGTTACCTTTGTGATTTTCAGTTTGGTGAAGACTTCTTGCATAACCTTGTAGTTTTGTATCATCTCGTACTCGTTCTTTGCTTCGAAATTGACCTAAAAGAGGGGAGATTTAGATTGCTCGGCGAAGAACCAAACAAGAGATGGGCAATGGAAATGAGAAAAATCAAAATCACCTTGTGCATTGGCACAACTCCTGGAAAAGTCATGTCCAACATTTGACATTGCACAGCACCCGATGCAGCCTAGCAAAACCCACTAGACGAATTAGAACAGTTTCAATGCTTACTCGCAAGACTAAATTAAAAGAAACCGCTCCAAACACATTTCATGACCATCTTAATGGCCCTTGAAGCCTTTTCAATACCAAAGGCATAAAATAGTATCAAGCTGAAAAATGTACATTACACAACATGAAATTGCAATTAACACAGAAAAGCCAAAAACTTGAGAGGAAACCAAAAAAAAGGAGAATTTAACAACAAACATACAATATGAGTTGCTTCCAATAGCTAAAAGCAATAAGCATCAAAACCACAGAGCAACAACCATCAGAGAGTAAATGTAACTGCATCTTAACACAGTCAAAAACACCAAAGGTAAACCATGTTCAGATACTTCGGAGGAATGAAATGATTTTAGATATCAAAATCTGCAATAGCTCATCCCACAACTCACTCACTAGTTGTAGATCAGAAAACTCAATAAAAGCATTTGAGTGAGAGTGACACACCGACAAATCTGTTGGATCATCATGAGAGACAACAAATCAAACCCAAAAATCCAAAATTTGTCCGAGTTCCAAATCCTATTCCCCTCCCCAAATTGCACCAGATAAACACTACATTTCTCAGAACCAATCGTCTGAGGCCACCGACACTATCAAAACAAAACCTTTTCAAAACGAAAGACACGTCCTTTTTCAATCAGTTCCTTGACAATGCACAGAGTGAAGAAATCTCCCATGGAAACCCACATGCAGAAACTTAGAATCCAATAAACATATATATATACCTCTTCGATACGAGAGAGATTGAGATGAAGGCGGTCATTGATCCAACCCAGAATCTCGTTTCTTCCCACAAAGTAGGCACTGTCCATCATCCCAATGTTGGTCGCCATTTGAGCCCGTCTCTAAAACGAAAAGAAACCCCCTTTTTTGTCTCTTTTCTATCGAAACCCAGATGCAATGCAATAATGGGTATTGATCGAAAAAAAGGTAAGAGAATCAATTGGTTAGGTGAAACGAGAGAAAAAAAGAATTCTTCTTTTAAATTTGTAAAGAAAAAATTGATTCGATCCGTTTTGGGTTTTGCTTGTTGGGAAGAGAAACTGAAGCAGAGAAAAAGACGGAGAGCGAAGGGAATAAGAAAGAAAGGGGAAAAGTGCAAAAAGGCAGGGAGAATTTAGTTTTAATTAATTAAACTTATTTAGTCGTTACGATGTCTCGCGTGAACCAGCATTTTATTATTTATTAAAATCTAACAAGTAGTATTTTAGAAGAAAATCTTTGTGATTTATTCAAAATTACTCCTAATATGATCGCTACAGCAACTTGTAGTATTAGAAAAGAAAATGAGAACTATATAGTAGTATATTTTCGCTACTAGGCTTTGAAACATGGGGATTTTGATTTTTGTTAAACAAAGAAAGAAAGAATAGTTTTTTTTTAGTTTTATTGTCCCAAAAAATGCATTAACTTCATGGTTCGTTTCGGTTACAGCTAATGTCAGTTCACAATTATAACGATGCTGATTTGGACTGTGTAATATGTAACGCCATCACGTGGGGTGCCTTTAGTAAGCAGTAACGTGGTAATATATATACATTTCTTAAGGAAAACATATACTCTCAATTCTATTTTATTTTCCCATTTGTGATATTATTATTTTCGTTAAAATAACAAATTTTATTTATTGCTTTACATTTCCAACCACTTCCATAGGTAGATCCAGTTAATCTTACTCATTTTTCTATTGAATAAATATATTTTTCTCTTTTAGCATGGAGTACAAAAAATGAAGTATTTAATTTAGGAACAAAACAATTAATAAGGTAGAAAATCATTCGTTATCGTTTAAAAGTTTACGTTACCAAATTACCACGATTAAAAAAAATAGTTTCGTTGGAGACTGTCACAAAATCTTGTAGAAAAGACACGTGTATACAATACTTACTGTTCCAACATTTTAATGGCTAATTATTTTTGAAAAAGGGTTTAAACAAAGAAAATAAACCAACTGGACCACTTTTCTTCTAATTAATGGCTAATTATTGTTAGTTCTCTTTCTTTATAAAGCTCGAAGAATTTGGCTCTTGTTGATATATCACTATCAACATACCGTCAAATGGATGAATAAAAATGTATTTGCTGGTTTACCAATTCTTTAGGAATCATTAGTTAGAAGACCGAATGCTAAAGATACTTCCTAAAACAATACCATAGGAATCATCCAGATTTTGATGATTTCTAAAATTAAATCAATAGCTTAAACTCGTTCAACGTATACTAGGTCTAGTCCACACTTAAGAAAAAAAAAAGCCCACCACTAATTATCACGCATAAACATTATTATTTTGATAGTAAAATATAATGTCTTGACCGCTCATAACAACTTCAAAAAAAAACAGAAACAAAAAGGGAAAAAAAAAGGAACAAAGTATAATATGACACACATATTAAAGCTACAACCAGCCTGAAGTAGTAGTTTCACTAGTAGACATAAGTATCATCAAAGGCCGAGTGACCAACGTATTTGGCTGATGTATCCACCTGAAGATAGATAGAAACGACCAACAAAATTTATAGGTTCACAAAAAGCGTTTTAAAGAGAGTTAACGAGGCACATACCGAGCTAACACGCTTCTCAGGAGCCTCGCCGGAATCATTTCCGGGAGTAAATTTTCCAGCAGCTGCTGCTAAGTCATCTTCGTCCTTCTTAGCTGGAACGTACCATACGTTAACACTACGTGGACTTAATAGGAATGAGCGCACATAGTTCTCGTAGACATAAGCTGCACCGCTCATGCCAGGCAACACCAACCAACAAGTTAGGGCAAGCTTGGCGTATGGCCATAATGGAATCCTGATGATAATACAATAACCTCGAAACTTTAGTCCATATAGAAGAATAAACTTACACATCAAGGAAAGTTGTAAAGCATCTGTACAATATCTTGTCAAAAGCTTTAGGAGCCCGAGCTATACGGTTATTTATAAACAAACATATGATCAACTCTGTTTTCACAAACAGAAGCTTGCGCATCAAGGAAGCTTGTTTAGATTGTGTTAAAAGTTTTACCAATCTATGATTCTGTAGAAAGTGAGTTCAAAGAGTTTGAGAAGCGAATAAAGAGCCCAATAAGTGAGCCATTGCTTGTCGTCTCCATGAGTCCTCGACTCTATTGCCCTCACTGATGCGTATCTGTATAAACCAAAATCGTAATTAAATAAAAAGATTTAAAATTTTATAAATTCTCATAATTCACAGAGAAAGTTATGTTGTGCTTACAGAGGGTAGACCAAGCTAACCACAGGTCTGCACATACCAACACAATTAAAAAGGATCAAATTGGTGGGAAAAAAATAAAAGAAGAAGTCAAGAAAATAGCTAGTTTATAATGTTGGTTATTAATTACCCAGCAATGACGTCGAAATTCTTGAAGAGGACCTTCACTAAACTTCCGATAGCGGAAATCATTTTTGCCGTCAGAACTTTTTTTTTTGTCTTCCTCGCACTCTCACCACCGCCTTTTGAGTTTTTTTTTTTTTTTGCTTTGCTTCTTTGGTTTTTGGACAATACGTGGTCATATATGAAGGACGCTGGGGTTGGGGACACGTGTCCGTGACTATGAGAGGAGTCGAGACGAAACTTAGCCGCGTGGCTTGACCTGGAAGTCGATTTTTATCACCGTTCGATTTCATCATCCATGTTTGGGTGGATTTCATTTCTTCCCCTTCAAATACTTTTAATATAAAATACTTAACGGATTAGTATATCCTAATTTTCCAAGCGGGTTGGAGCAGATTTCAAATCAAAATTTGGATCTCGGACAACAATTTCACCTTTAGTCTTATCTTATTTCTTCGAAATGGTCGATTTAAGTACCATGTATGTTAATCTTAGGTATCTTTGAGCGTTAATACTTTAATAGCAATGTTTTTTTTTTCTAAATTATGTGGATGATGGATCCACTCTTCTAAAATTTGGATTTGAAAGTAACTTCTACTCATCGTACCTCAATCCATCTAAGAATTTGGTTCATTCTTGCAACATGCTTATTGACTGCAATAGTAAACCAGTCCTAACGAGTACCAATACAAAAACAAACCAAAAAACAAACAAGAAGGTGCGTGCATAAAGGAGAAGGGGCTCTTGTTACCATTGAGGAACATAGCAAAGACTCTAGTGAGATGGCACCAACTCTGAGGACCGATGGCTGGCTTTAGTGCCTCTGCGGTCCCAGATTGGAGCTGTCTCGATGAGCTTGTGTGGTGCAAGCCGCTTCTCCCGCTTGCTTAGCTTCTTAAAGCTGCGATGAGCTTTGAGCCTCGCAATCTCAGCTTCTTCCTCTGGAGTCGTCTCTCTAACTATGACTGTTAGGTGACACTCGGGTCTTATCATCAACCCGCATTTTCCTTTTCCATGGTAAGATATCCTCTTCTTGAAGAGTCCCTTCCCAACAAACGCTTCCGCTGCATGATTCACACATCAAAACCTTAGACAAATAAATCGTTCCTCAATGCAAGCATAGGGGTCAAGGATCCAGTAGCAGTAGTACGTACCAATTATGAGACGGTCAGGATCAAGTCCATGGTTATGAGAAGCATTTGCTCGGGCAGCGTGGATAACCTGCAGTATATGGATTTGATTTCGTGTTAGTATCGTACTGTCAGAAATAGCTGCCGGTTTCAAACTCAGATCTGAGAGATTACCCGGTACACGGTAAGGGAAGCCCGTTTAACTAAGACCTGCAGTTGCATCAGAGCATCTTCAACGCGCATACCACGAACTAGTGCTGCAACTAGGTTGACCTTCTTAGGACTCTGAAACGAAGCACAACTTACATTGAAAGACTGAACTCTGAATCATAATAAAATGAATGAAGCAGACCATGTGAAAAAAGCGGATTCTGTTTTAAGAGTTAGAGAAGTCACCTGCTTTATGTCCTTGAGTACAGCCTGCACTTTTTTACGCTTTGGGATAATCTTCTGCTCTTCTTCTTTTCCACTACCCAACAAAGCTGGAGAGGACAAAGGTGATGACACGGGTTCTTCACCAGCCTGCAGATTCCTTGAGGTAGAAATCCCCTGAAAACATAGAACTTCAGATCAGAGAAGAAAGAAGCAGGCATCCCATAAATTTCATCAACCAAAAATACAGGTTATAGTTCCAAAAGATGAGTCCTTTCGTCTATATCACACTAGCACGGTCTCATTTCCCCTACTTCCAAATTCTATCATTCAATGTAGAACTGGCACAACATATCTGTAGATTTGAATATTCGCCACAAAAACTTTGGTGAAGTATGAGGAAACGGGAAACATTACCACTTGTTGTAGATAACGATGCAGTGGTGCTGAGGAGTAGGTTGGTCTCAGAAGACCCTGCAAATAACCTAGTTCACGAGCAAAAAACCCAAAAAAACTGAATCAATCATCACACACTCAACTAATAACAACACAAGAGATAACACGTGCCATTGAAAAGATCGACAAAGAACACATAGATACAGAAGTGATTTAACATTCTCTAAACCCAAAATGAGCAGTACTCAGCAACAGCGGCAAAGACAAAGCAATCACCAATAAAGTGAAGAAGAAAAATCTAACCTTGCGAGAAAGGGTATTCTAAATTCCGAGTGGAAGAGTAATTGGCCGTAGAAATGTTACTGTTCTTCACTCTTCTCCCAACCTGACGAACAGCTGACTGTAGATGCCTCTGCCAAGCCGCCATTGTTTTCCAGCGAAAACCTCGTCTACGGCTATAACACTATCTGAGTTCTCTGCAGACGCAAATAATATGAATCAGAAAGAAAGATGAACAATTGGCTCATCTGACCCAATATGAGTTACTGAGCAGAACACCCGAAAATGACAAGTCCGATTAGATCCTGAGTAATCTAATTGAAAATTTCTCAACCCATTGAATCGGAATAGATAGGGTTTATTGATCGGAAGCTAACCTGTGATGAGCTACTCTGAGAAAGAGAGAGAGAGAGAGACAAAGCTCGGGGCGGCGCAGAACGACGGTGAAACATTGTTTAGTGATTTGGAACTTTGATGCTCCATGGGCTCGACCCGAACCCGAATTCGTTTTCAGGTACGGGTCGGATTCGTAAGGCGGGTCCATCCAACTGGTTTAGCTGTATTTGCCGAATTCGGTTTGGTTTAGGTTGGTTCAGTTTGATGTGGTGTATAAAATCTATTAGACGAGTTGGTTAGCCATAGGCTGATTAGTACAACGGTTGAGATTACTTTTACCCCTCCTTCAATTTTCTTGTCTGTGAAAATTGGACCCATGTTACCTAATAACACATTAAATTTGCTTGTTAGATAATGGTAATTGGTACAGTAACTCTTAAAAGCAACAAACGGACTTTAAAAAAAAAAAAAATTCCTTGAACCAAACCAAAAACTTTGACTAGCCCGCCAATAGAATAATCTCGCATTAATTTCTTTACTTTCTTATCAATTGAGATGTTGGTTTATTTGATCTAACTAATTATGTGAAACAATTTTGCCAAATGCATTTGTTGGAAATGTATTTTTGGTTTGGTATATTTTAGTGTTGATGAGAAAAAAGTTGTTTCTTTAGAATTTAGTTTCTGAATATTACTCTCTCCGTTCCAGAATGTATGATGTTTTAGATGTTTCATAGATATTAAGAAAACAATGATTATTTACTTTTTTAAAGTACTTTTTATTTGTTTATTAATTTAATACTAATTTTTTATATTTTGTTACCCAAAAAGTTGTTTTGGAAACAGAAATATATTAAATATAATGTAGAAAATTAATCTTTGTAGAACAAAATAAAAAACCCAAAACATCATACAATATGGAACGGAGGGAGTATCTTTTTGGCGACGAGCTTTTAAATAGATAACCATTTTTACCTATGTCGGTTTAATCTCACTTTTCATCATCATCATCTAGTTAAGAAGCCATATATGCACGAAGGAGATATGCTAGTGTGATAAGCTGAAATTTCAAAGTTTTAAAGTTTATGATCAATTTAATTAACTTTAAAGTTTTGTTATTTATTTTCAATCTATATTGTTGTTGTTTCTTTCTCGTACAAACCATCGACGTACAACAGGAGTAACATTTAGAGAATCAGTGAAAAAAAAAAAAAAATTTGTCGAGAAAACTGAACATTTGAAAATGAATTACAAGATATAGATTTATAATAAACATACTAGCATAAACAGCAAATTGTAACCACTCCTGACAAAGAAGCAAGCTTTTATATATTTCGTTAAAGCTACATGTATATATCTTTCCTTTATGTTCTTCCCTAAAAGAAGTATCATTTAGAGCTCAGCATGTAGAGAAAAGGGAGAACTAGAATACAGAGAGAGCATTTAGCATAAAGAGATTCAAATTAGAGGCATTATAGGAGGATACAACAAGACCAAATGATTTAGCGGTAGAGAAGGATACCATTAGAGGCAGTAGGAGAACAAAGAAAATATACATATATACGTACGTAATTTGCGGTTTGCATCTCATAATTCGAAGTTAAGCGCTACCAATTAGCCTTTAGTTATTTAAATTACTATAAGCTTCCGAATATTTCGAACAATCACACCTATGCGTTCTTTGATTTCAATGAAACGTAAGTGTTGATTATATTCACATTCTAGAAAAATCTCGTTGATTTCTTGAATATAAAAGGCAGTCGTTATGGCTTTTGATGAAGTGGGCACACAACATAATTTAAAAAGTACCAAGTTTGCATATGATTATTAGCTATATGGTCCCAAATTTATGTGTTGATACTTGGTGGATCATATCTTGCCGAACCTAGCACCCTTATTGAGTCCGACCATACTCTTTGAGAATAAGCCAACAAACCAACTTCTCCTACACTATTAAGGCAAGCTTTTTAATTGTTTGTTATTATTGCTACATATACCAAAAAAAAAACTATTTTCATATTTCAAAGAACGAAAATATGATAATCATACTGTATCCAATTTTTTTATAAAAGTCTTGATCTAATATATATCCAAAATATTGATGACCCAAAACAGACATGAACTAGTATATGATGAGCCAAAAATGATCATGATGCATAAAGGGTTTAGAGCCAAATTCACATCGACAAATATTAGTATATGTATTCAAAACATTTATGAGCCAAAACAGACTTGATATAATCTTGATGAGCCAAAATGATCATCATGTATATATATATATATATATATAGAGGGTTTAAAACCAGTTTTACATCGACAATTATTAATATATGTCAAGCTATAAAAAAACCATAGTTTTAAGTACGTACGTCGATTAATCTCAAAATAAAACCCTATGAATTATATGTATGTACATCGAAAAATATTAAGATATTCGAGCTATAAATATTAAAAACCATAGGTTACAACTCTATATAAGTACGTCAACTAGTTTTAACGTTAAAACCTACGAGTTTTTACATAACGCAACATAGTATAAACATATGAAATCACTTTTCCGGAATTTGAGATCCAGGCTCTGCTTTCTCCATAATGTGAACAAATTCAAATGAGAATTGACTTACAATCATCGAGCTCATAACTGCAAACATATAGTCAACTATGAACCCCTTCTAGTGTCATGCCACGTTCAAAATTCTATTACGTATGTCACGTATCAAGAGCGTGTATGGTCCCATACAAAATGCCTCTCCATAATAATTATAAAAAATGATTCAGTCGCCAATAATTTGTAAATTCGCAGAGAACACATAGATTTCGTATATCAAACTAAATCTGAAAATACAATTGAATAATACACCGCCCCTTATGTATCGAGTAAATTCGAATTGAAAGATTTCGTACCGTAGAGATTATTGTTCTCATCCTCGTTCACCAGTCGACACGTGTTAACGTTCACGGTCTCGAACAAGGAGTGGAGAGAAAGCGTAAGTGATCGCACCAAGATGTGGCAGGAGACCTAATTAGAGGTGGAGACCACAGCGTAGCAATACGATAAAATATTGCTTTTACAAGTGGGACCCACGACGTACCTAACTTACTATCGAGTATTTTGTTATGTCGTCTTGCGCAAAACATGTCTTGTCCAAGATCCTCGCTTTCCATATCCGGAGAATGCAAGGTGGTCTGATTTATGCCGTACACGTGTACATGCTTCCATGCCAGTAGACTTCGTGGAAGCTGAAGCGGGATTATACAGTGTGAATTGCATCTATGTGTAAATGAGTGGTGGATGTTTGGATACGGAATGGTTTCGAAGATTTAAGAAATTGATCGAAGAATGTTTTCTTCATCATTGTTTCTTTTTTTTTTTTTTACTTTGTATCAGGTGTTCGAATACATACTAGCGTCGGAAATAGCTTTGGTGGTGACTTGAGGAATATTTCGTCGCAATTTCTGATAATTCTTTTGTCTACGCACGGATACAAGTTTAAGCCGAATTAGAGAGTCTTACAATAAAATTCTACAGTTTCAGTCAATCCAAATATTGGTGTAGAACTAAGCAAGCAATTCTAGAAAACCAAACATATATAATGGTTAACTTGCATGAATTTTATTACCAAGTGACATGTTTACTCTATGATTAGCGCTGGACGTTTTAGCAAACCAAACATCTAAAACTAACAACAAAATACTTAAAATATGTAATTGAATTGTCTGAACCAATATTACTATGTACCAAGAATGTAAGTGTCGATATTTTCTCCAAAAAAAAGTTTACTATTTAGAAAACATTTTTGGGAAATAGTTAATCTATTTGACAGCAAGGGATAAAAGATGTAAATATTAATTAGTGTGTCATTTTCAAACCGCTAAAATTCAATGTACAAGGGTGTGAGGTGGCTTGGTTTTTTTTTTTTTTTTCTCGTTAAATTGGAAGTACCAAACTGCTTGATTGATTGAGAGGAGGTGGACATTGATAATTTAAAGCAAATATACAACAATATGTAAGCACCCAAAAACACTATAAATTTTGCACCATTTGAGCTACTTTCTAGTTTCTTATATAGATGTGTTATTAATATATTACCGTATTCATATATTTTGAGACTGATTCAAAATTAATCGAACCAATCTGAATCTTTGCATAGTCTTCCTTAAAAATGCGTATGCTATAATAAAATTCAAATTAACAGATTGCTATATTGACGTGGTCAATCTTCACGAGCCGACATCGAAACTGTGAAAGTGATGGTTTCTAATACCCTCACGAAAAAGACAACATACTATATATAATAAAAGCTAGTTTAGACAAGTTAAGTTAAAATATCTATAGGTTGATTATATACAAGAATTAGTAGATCAGGTTACGATTCGTTGAGTTTATTCTTAAATGAATAAGTTTATGTTGCCATAGGCTTTGTGGCTTAGCTAAACCCAATAGTTAGAAATCCATGTATAAATTCGTTGCATCATGAATGATACATACACACAACAAACTATTTTACTAAAAAAAAATACAATGGGATATCATATAAGTTATGAACATAGAGAGATAACCTAAACTAAGTTGCACATTTATCTCTATGAAAACATTATATTTACATTTCAGATACAGCAGGTCTAAAGCTTTAATTTCAAAAGCAGATACAAATAATATAATAAGTTGTTGTTCTATATATATAGTCTCAACTCTCGAGGGTTTGGAACAATTGGAGAATTTTTTAATTTTAGGTTATAAGTTTTATCACACTGATTTTTCTGTTAACAAAAAAGTTCAATTTTTTTTTTCTTAATCTCTCTTAACTCAATA